AACCTTGCAAATAGGGATAGTTAATCGTTTATAGATAAGCTATTGCGTGCTTAGTAGAGGGACGCCTTTGCTATCGAGCGTATTAATAAGCTTGTAAGTAGGCGGGCGACTCGATCTAGTAAGAGTAATAACAATTAGTCGATCGACGACAAAGGTTACTTAAAGTTTAAGGGTAGGTATTATATCCCCGCTAAACAATCGATTAGATAAGAGCTTTTAAAGAGGCACTATAATAGTAAGCTCGCTAGTTACTATAGTATAGAGAGGTCGCACGAGTTACTATCGCGCACATACTACTAGCTAAATAGTAAGCGGCATATAAAGGAGTATATACAGACCTATGCAGTATACTAGCGAGTTAAAGCACTAAAGCACTTACTATTTAGCGAGTTGTCTTCACTTCCTGTTCCTAGGAAGCTATTTGCTAAGCTTATAATAGACTTTATTATAGGCCTTCTGCCTGCTAAGCGCAGGGGCAGCAAGGATGTATATAATGCTATCCTTATTATAGTAGATCGATTTACTAAAGGCGCTCGATATATCCCGGCGCGTAAGGATTGGACTGCTATTAATATAGTAGAGTCGCTATAGACTAACATCTTCTACACCTATTAGGGGACCCCTAAGGGGATAGTCTCCGATAGGGGTACGACATTTATATCGCACTATTAGAGCGAAATATGCCTATAGCTAAGACTAAAGCATCGGCTATTAACAGCCTTCTATCTATAGACTAACGGTTAAACAGAGAGGCAGAATACTACCCTATAGCAGTACCTACGCAGTTATATTAATAAGAACCCCGAGGACTAGGTTAACCTCCTATAACTAGCTAAATTCGTATACAATAATAGTGTCTACTTATCTACTAAGGTCTCCCCTTATTTTGCTATAATAGGCTAGAACGCTGCCTTACTATAAGACCTATTTACCTCGCTCGAGGCCGAGCGCAAGGAAAGGGAAGCGTATTAAGTACTAATACCTAAGACACTAGCGGCTATTAAGAGGGTTCAAAAGATGCGAGAGATTTACGCTAAGATAGCTAACAAACTAGCAAAGGCCTAGGCCTATTAGAAGGCCTATTACGACAAACATTATATACCGATAACCTTTAAGTAAGGCGATATAGTTATGCTAAGCACTAAGAACCTCCGTATCCGCAAGCACCTATTACCTAACAGTAAAACAAGGCCTAAGCTCGCACTAAGATACATTAGTCTATTCCGTATTCGAGAAGTTAAGGGCTCCTCCGTATAGGCCTATTAGTTGTAGCTTCCTCCTTATTATACTATCTATAACACCTTCTATATATCCCTCCTTAAGCTATATTACCTACGCGAGGGGGATAAAGCCCCTACTAAACACGAAGACATACTAGCGGATAGTAAAGAGCTATAGTCTATAGAACGTATCCTATAGTACTAGACTAGGAAAGGCAAGAAGGAGTACCTATTAAGATAGCAAGGCTATTTACCTAAATAGGACTCGTAGGAAGCTAAAGCCTCTTTTAAAGATATAACTAAGTTGTTAGATAAGTATTAGACTAGTATAAAGAACAAGAAGAAGGCTAAGGGCCTATAATATCGCCTAGGAATAATGCTACCCCTAGGGTGCTGTTAGCTAACTAATTAGAGACAAGCAAGTGTTAGCAATAAAGGACAATAAGACTACACTAGGCGCGCTACGACGCGTTAATTAATTAATCGTATACTCTTTTAAGGACTCTACCTCTTTACTAACGCGCCCTATAGGTCCCCCTCTTATTCCTTTATTCTATCGAGGCCTCGAGGCCTAGGCGATCGGCGAGGACGGCGTCGCGCTTATAATAGCGCGGCCGGCGCGGCTATATTAGTAACGGTATTACCGAGTTGTTATTAGTTAAAGAAGGAAATTAGAAGAAGGTAAAGTTAGCGCTAAGACGACTAGCGCCGCTACTATTAATATTACTTGCTATTATTACTGCGCCTATAGACATAACCTTACCTATACTACGAGCCTAAGGCACCTTTAATCAAAACTTTAATCAAAACTTTAAGGCTAAGTTAAAACTTTAAGCCGCCTAAAAGATTGAGCAACTAATAGACTAACTAAGGGTAAAACTATAGAGCTAAGCTAGCCGGGGTCGATCTTACAGACAATAGGTTACTCCTCGATCTATCTAACTCTTTAAGCGAGGCGAACCTCTACTACTATACTTATAATAGCCTTTACCTATAGAAACTAGACGAGCTGTGTTTTTTCTAAAAAGATAAGATAAGATTAACAATTAAAGGCTGCTAAACCTAACTAATTAGGGCTAGCGAAACTACGAACAATAATAGCCCTCGTAACAATAAGAACAAACCCTCGGAAGCGGATATAGCTAGGTCTTTTAGAGTAGACGTAAAGAACTCGGAACGATATTACTTAGAACAGAGGCAGGGCTGCAATACCTCGTACGTCTACCTATTATAGTAGGGAAGACGCGCTCGTATTGTAATTAGTCGAAGGTCCCTAATTCTCCTAGTTATATATCACTTTATTATATATAAGGATAGCGCAGTTAGAGTTAGATATTGTATTGTGTTAGAGGTAAGGTTTGATATAGTTACATAATCGGTAATTGCGTGTTTAATTTAGCGCGGACTAAGAAGCTTGCTAGACCTGCTAAGTTAGTAGCGATAGAGGTTAAGAATAGAACATAGACCGGCTACGAGGGCGCGGCCTTTAGAAGGGAAGCGTATATTAGGACTAAAGAGGTTACACGTAATTAGCATATAACTAGGCTCGAGTAAAGCTAGGGTCTTAATGCCTTAGGCAGGGCTTAGCGCTTAGCGTTAGGCTAACTAGCCTGCCTTCCTCCCTCTTCTCTTAGATCTCTATCGAATACTACCTATACCTACTACTACCCTATCTACCTACTAATAGACCCTTCTTACAATCTAGTAGGCTTATAGTCGTTATACTACTTCTAATAGCGCTTAACTATATCTCGGATCCGACCTTCTATATAATAGCTAGTATTAGCCTCGAAGTGCTTAATAATTAGTAAGGCAAAATCGTCCGATATGCGGCTGTCGCTATTAACTCGATTATAGTCGTCTTCTACGCCTTCTAGTAGGTTAAAGTTGTGCTAAGAGTCTTTAGTAGCAGTAGAAGGCTAAGAGTCGCTTAAATCTAGTATAGGCTATTAGACTACAGCCTATTATTGTTGTTCCTATTATTGTTATTCCTATTATTGCCGCTACCGCTCGAGGTAAGCCGTTAAAGAGGTATCTATACCTCTTTAAATAAGTTAAAATAACCGGCCTTAGTAGAGTTAAAATTAGTATCTAGTTAGTAGCTATACTGCTCTCGCTATCGCTATTATAGCTTAAATTAGTTAATAAGCTTGCTATAGACATAGAGCGACTATATAGTAGCCGCTTAATAACCGACTAGATTAGAGGCAATAGACTTCCGACTAAATATAGCTATATTAAAGAGACATCTATATAAAGAGGGTTACCTCGTAGAGCTACTCGAATAGGTATAGGCGGTGCCTATAGTAGTAGGTAGACTAGAGTAGTAAAGGCTAGTATAGAAGAGCCGGAGCCTAGGTCGATAATACGAGAGGGATAAGAGAGGGGGTCTATAGTAGCTATAATCGAGAATAAGGGTAGTTATACTAATAATTAAAGACCTCTCCTACTTCTAAAGATAGCTCTTATCCTATAGACGACATACTATAATTAATCCTCGAATTTAGGTTCTATCTAGTTAGTAGTAGCCCTTTAGCGGCCCCCTAGTAGCCTCTATTACTAATTATAATAACGGCTATATACCTAGACCTTTATATATATAAGTTAGTGCCCTCTCGTACTACTATCTCGAAGACCTAATAGCTACTTTCTACCTCGCTATCGTAGAGCCAATTTGCCTTTAATAAGCTAAGCCGGACAGGGTTTAAGCTACCTTCTATATTCTTCTAATACCTAACTTCTTCTAGCTAAGGCAGGATTACTACCCCTACGAGTCGTAAATATAGTGTCTTATATGCTTTTAAACGCGCGCGTTTAAAAGCACGGTCTAAGGTCTACGAGTTGATAATTTACCCCTATTCAAACCGGCGGTCGAAGGATGCGGTACTAACCTTCGCATCCACCTTGTTCCCCGACTGCGCGAAATTGGTGGCTTCTAAAGGTCCCTATTAGAACTACTAGAACTGGGTCCTATCGCTAGAACGACAGGGCCGCGAAAACCCCAGGTGCAAATTAACGTATTCTCTCCGGACTCGCGTGCTGCCAACAATGGGGAGCGGTATTTGGCACTTCGTCAAAAGCTATGCTTTGAGCTTCCAGACGTCTGCACGCGATAGCCTGATGGCGTTCCAGCCCAGGATCCGCAGGGAATAAATGAGTGCATCTTCCCCTCTGGCCACCTGCCTCTGCCCACAGCACTACCTGTTGTTCCCCTCCCTTTCCAGAATGTTATGACAGCCCAGCTTGTCCTCTCGCAGCGACGTCTTTTCCCACAACGATCAAGTCAAACATTGCCCAGATTTGTCGCAGAGAGCGACAGGACCTCGCCAAAATGCATTGAACCAAGTGAGGGGACAAGATCCGAAATGTGCACAGCAGTCCAAAGTAGACGAAGACGAGGTCGAGGGGGTGTGATGTGAGAATGAATTCATTGGCGACTTTCAAAACGATACATATCCAGATTGGAAGATCGCTTGACCCATGTCTCGCCAAGCTTATCCGAAAACTCTAATCTTCTTCAGATCATGTGACTCTCACGCTCGCGATAACGCGAACCCGCATGCACGCAGTCCTAGAACCAATGAGTATGAGACTCGAGTATTGGTGATGAATGACCGAGGACTCCAAATATCACTTCTTCCACACCTTTCAAGCCGTCGGCACTCTGATATCGCGGCCTAGCCAGTACAAGCCAGCATGTCATTCCTTATCAGCTTTCCTGGCAGCCAACCAAATTGAACCAATGTCAGCTACGAAACGCCTATGGCTTGATGCTGATAGATTCCTTACCTGCAACATGTCGGCTTGTTCTTGATTCTCGTCGGAGGACTGGTCACGATCATTGCTGTAGCGGCAATGCCTGCTCAACACGCCAGTAATAAGTTCGTATGGGGAGATTTTCAGAACCTGACAGGCTGGCCAAACGGAGTTGCATTCTTGACTGGTGTTCTCAACGGTGCTTTCGCAATCGGAACTCCTGACTCTGTCTCGCATATGGCAGAGGAGCTGCCTAATCCCAGAGTCGATTTGCCCAAAGCCGTATTTGCTCAAGTTGGGCTCGGATTCATCACGGCTTTCGTCTTCGGCATCGCGGTCTTCTATGGCATCAACGACCTCGACGCAGTGATTGGCAGCACGGGTTCCTTTCCACTGGGCGAGATCTATGCACAGGCAACAGGGAGCCGAGGTGCCACTTTCGGCCTTTTGCTGATCGTCTTCCTCTCCATTATGATATGTCCTGTGGGGACAGTGCTGATGCTTGGTCGTCTCTGGTGGGCCTTAGCACGAGACAATGCAACACCATTCTCCGGCTTCTTCTCGAAAGTCAACGAGCGCCTATCCTGCCCGGTCCCCGCGACAATCTTCTGCTCCATCCTAACCACTGGATTTGGCGCGATTCAGTTGGGATCCAAAGTCGCCTTCACAGATCTTGTCGGCTCGTTCATCATCCTCACAACTGCATCATACTTCCTCGCATTCTTTCCGCACCTACTCTCGAAGCGTTCTAACGTGCCCAAGGGACCGTTTTGGATGGGAAGTGCAGGGTATTTGGTGAATGGGATAGCGTCAACGCTCATCCTGTTCTTCATCTTTTGGTTCTCATGGCCATACGCCAAGCCAGTGACGGTCAGCTTGATGAACTACAATTCTGTTAGTTTGGTAGGCTGCGTGGTTTTGACAGCGTTTTGGTGGATTGTGCACGGCATCAAGAACTATCCGGGCCCTAAGCTCGCGCAGCTGTACCTGTAGGATGATGTTTCGTAGTCGCCTTCTGACTTTGCATGCCATATCAAGTACCGATCACGAGAAATAGCATCGCTGCGATTGCAAGAAAGCATCATTTCACCATTCTCCATTCGCCTGTGATATGTACACGAAGGCTGCGATTGAGCTGGAAAGCCATTGCAAGCCAGATGTATCCGTCCATCGCATCCAATCGTCCTCTATCGCTTCTGAGTCTTGACGTCTATTGATCCAACCTGGATGGAAAAGTTCCATTCTCTCTTTGGTCATCCCATCGCTCGCACCACGATGCCGGGCACAGGGATTTATAGGCTAGGTAGAACTGTAATCCACGTCAGCTATCCTGTCCCAATGCTATTCTACTCGTAGCGGCTCGCTCTGCTCGTACCTGGCGGCAAGGCTTGAAGTCCTCACCCTTGGCGAGGATGCACTTGTGGTAGTCGACGTAGTTTTGCCAACAGTGCTTGGTTTGATTCTGGTTCGGGAAGCGGGCGTCGAAGCCTGGGTTATATCAGTATTTGTTCTCCTCATTCTCTCGCGATTTCGTTCGGTCGAGGGATAGTGGCAATGGGCTCACGTACCGGCTGCAGAACTTGTCAGTTGCTATCTATCTCATGGGGCGGCAAAGTAGGCATTGGAGCGTACCTGTTACGAACTTGAAGGGCATGGTCACGCGCTCCTCATCGTCAGACATTTTGGCCGGATCTGTTCGGTGATTTGATGGGTAGATTGAGAGAAGTGCTTCGTCGCTGGAGGAGATGGTGGTTGTGGGGGTGGAGTGGTAGCGCTCTGGTGATGCATCATCTGAGCGAAGGTCAGGAAGGAACGAATCGCGGTTGCGGGATTTGCCGCTGCCGAGCTCTTCACCTTGAACATTGAACAAGTCCAGCAGCTACAGCACAACGACAACTGACTCTCCACTCCGCTACCCACACACAATGCAGACGACACGATTCGCCACCATGCTGCGCCAGCAGGCACCAACTCTCCGCAGCCGTGTCCAGCCATCTATCCGCATGCAGGCGAGGGGCTTCAGAACGACGCAGATCAGACAAGCCGTTCCGGTATGCATACATTCAGAGAAAGATCTGTAGGCTGCCTATGCTAACATCTAAATAGAAGGAAGAGCAGTCCGGTGTGTAATATCCGCGAAGAGACACCGAAGGCCAAGAATTAATGCATGATATAGCCCATACTATTTCGCAGCGTCTCCGAACCCTCAAGAAGATCCCACCGGAGTTGATCCCTCTTGGTGTTGTCCTGGCAGCTGCCCTGATTGCTGCTGGCTATTCCATGACCAGAAAGCTTATGACCGATAAGACGCTCCGCCTTTCGAGACAAGGAAAGCAGGCAGAGCACTAGAATGCAGTGTGAGCTGGGACGTAGGAGCTATTGTACAGATGCAGGACACGGACTCGGAATTCGGTTTGCGCCAATGAGGCCAAGAGAGAGGATAACATCAACTTTCCTATGTAGTGCACAATTGCACGGGTCCCGTGCTGTCACGCTACGCAGGCTGCCTTTTTGTTCATTGTTGCATTTACGGGACGCGGATATCACGTTGCAAGTCTGCACTTGACAACTGACAGAGTCGCTCCCACGTTGGACCTGCGATACTGCAACATCACAATAGCAAACAATGCCAAGACCTTGGATTGGTCGTCGCAGTTGCCAGTGAGTGCTGGCTCCTCCCGGCTATACCAGTTTGGAAATCTGGCAACGATGTACACACGTGAATCACGATGATGCTCCCAGGTCCTCGCAATCTACGCTTTCGAGCCGACTTACGGAGACGGGATTGCGTTTTAGGGACGATAAACGCAATGGCACTCACAAAGCTCACACAGCTAGATGCTTACCCTGGGTCTTCGTTATCAGAGCTCAGGATTCGATGCACTGCGGGAGGTAGCGCATGCGCGATGGTGGCTACGATGCTTGTGCAAGCTGCCAATCCACCGAAGCTGTACCTTGCTGTGGTGCCTGTACTGATCTCCTTGAATAGAATCGAGACTTATGTGGTGCTGCGAGACTGGCTGGCTTGCTCCAGGTCTTCACGGACAGGTACTAATCAAATGAAGATAAAGCACTCTGGGCGGGCTGGTCGTTCATGCGAAGGCACTCCTGAACAGCTACATCTCACTCTGCGCTCCAAACCCGACCTATTTTCTCTGCAGGATCTATCGAAGCAAGATGGACACGGAAACCGGTCTCTACCGAACTCCGCTCTCACAACACGACACCATCAATCACGCTCCACACCACCCACAAGAAGAACCCATCCGCTCCGTCTCAACTCCCCGCACCCCAAAACAAACCCATCTCGACCCAAAATCCCACTTCCACCATGATGCCGAACTCCTCTACGACCTCTTCTTCCTCGCCAACCTCACAGTCTTCACCTCCATGCACTCCGTCAACGACATCCCCACCCTAAAATCCTACATAGCATTCTTCTCCCTCCTCTGGCTCACCTGGTATCAAGTCTCCCTCTACGATGCCCGCTTCAGCACCAACAGTCTCATCGAGAGAATTTTCAAAGCTCTTCAACTCGGCGCAATGATGGGTTTCGCTGCTTGCGGTCCACAGTTCAATAACAACGAGATCAAGGACGAATACGGCGACCTCATCGGTGGAGATCCGTATCGAGGCGTTAGCCTCGTACTCATGGCGACACGACTCATCCTCGTCTGTCAATATCTCATGACGATTGTCTTCTTACGGAAGGAGAAAGCCAGTAGGATCCCGCTCGCAACGCTTTCTGCGATCTACGGCTTCACTGCGATCGTGTATTTCGGACTTTTCTGGAGTTTCAAGCTGGATTCCAAAGTCGTGGGGAATTATTCTTGGGTGGGTTTTTATGTTCTCGGGGCGTTTGAAACGATTTTGGTGACGATGTTGAGTTCGCTTTGGCCGGTGCTTGGTCCGAAAAGTGGACAGGTGATGCAGAGGATGGGGTTGCTTACGCTTATTGTGCTTGGGGAGGGGGTGATTGGCATCGCGCGGCAAGTAAGTATCTTACCATGAAAGTTCCCCTCGTGAACACAGGTCGCTGATTCCATCACCTAGTGCGGGCTTATCCTGAGAGCGTCAACTTTCTCCTTTGAAGGCTCCGTCGTGGGCTCCGTTGCTTCTGCAGTCTTGATTATTTACTGTGCGTACCTGATCTACTTTGATTGGACTAAAGAGCACTTTGTCGGGACCGCGAAGCAACAGGTCTGGCTGCTGCTACATTTCCCACTACACCTCCTTCTGGCGCTCGCTGTCGAAGGTGTCAGCTGGTGCATCACATGGCGAGCCGCTGAGGTCAAGGTCAAGTGGCTCTACAAACAAGCCGAAAAGTGGTTCACATACAACAGCCGCGATGGCTCTCAAATACTTGCTTCCAACGCCGACCAGCTGGATCAATTCACTTCTCAAGTTATTAACGATACATTCACCACGGCCCGCAGCCCGTCCCAGGCGTCTTTGGCTACAGACATGCGTGAAATTGCACGAGAATGCATGCCCTTGATTAGGAATCAGTCAAACTGGGACAGCGGTGTGGATACGGGTCGTAATGCCATGACGAACGTCACTAATGCCGACCACCTTTCTCTTTTGACCGTTGCCGGCTTTAACGCCCAGGGCTTCGACTTGACGTCCGGTCGTGTCGACACACTTGCACCCGAATCAAGCCTTGTCAACTTCAAAACAACATTCATCTACACCTTCGTATCCACCGGCCTGATCATCATAATCTGCACCCTAATGGCCGCACTGAGCAAGAAAAAGAAAACCCCTCTCCATTGGCTCGGACTCGGCATAAGTGCCGCCATCGGCATCTTCCTCTGGTAATAACACAACACCTACAACTCCCACAACTCCCTCATCAATCGCTAACACGATCACCAGCGCCTTCGTCATGCTCGCCTCCGGCGTCCCCAACAATCCCAACGCCGTGAACCAAAAGTTTAACAAGCGATACACCCAGTTCATTCAAAGCCCATGGATTCTTCCGATCATCGCTCTCTCTCTCCTCCTTGGCAAGAATCTCCCTCGTCTTCGAGCCTTGGTGGCTTGAAAAATTTCTCCTGCTAATAAATCCTTGATAGTCGTCTTCCTCAATAATTCTGCCCCGATTATACCGAAAGCAGAGAAACATGACCGTGATAGTGATCGGGGGAGGAGGAGGAGTAGTAGCAGCAGTAGTAAGTTGATTCTATCTCTCGAATTATCTGCTGTAATCTAGCAGCCATAGTCAAGAGCTCCCGCTCACCTTCACAGGTGAGGATACTCGCCCAACTCAAAACTTACCAGCCCACCCACCCAGCCAAGTGAATTCTGGAGCTGAGGGGAGTAAGCTGGCACCTGGACTTCATCATTCTGAAAATGAGAAGATGAAGAATCCTGCCGATCGTCAAGTGGTATGAGAGGTTATGGATGATGAAAGGGACATGGGAGTGAAAGCCGATTGATTACACTTTGGAGGTTCTTCTGTTGAATAATTGCGAGGCGTTTGCTCTGGCGTCATGGTAGTGTATCTGCATGATTTGATATTGTAGTATTCTGTCGACATGTTGTTCGTTCGTTCTTTCTGGCTCGAGAATGGCAGTCCGTCTGTGAGAGGGTGGGTATATCTGCGCCCAAAGTTCGATTCTCTCGCTGGCTTTGCTTCGATACATCTTCGCCCACCTGATGAGTGAGGCGTCGTACGAAGAAGTGCTTTGGGATGGCTTCTGATGTCGTCCGAAACGGGGTGGTTCCTTGGCGCTTTGATTGGCTGCCAAGGCGGCTGCACTGCACTCCCTTTCCTTCCACCAAATTGCTACTGTATGTACTGCAGTCCCACGCTCGTGCTATAAGCAATGCAGACAACTCCCGTGCAGTCCTGCGGTGCTTGTCCTTGGTGAGGAAGAAGCGTGGTGAGCGTGGATGAGATTCCTCAAGCCGCCGCTGCTACTCGGCAGTGGCAGGCCTAGTTCTAGTCATCATGGCGGACGACATCAATATGCACTGCTTGACCAGCAGCAACGGCTTTGGAGCAGGGAAATCGGGGTACTGTTCATTATGGTGGTGACTTTGGCAGCCGTCACGGCCCTTGTGGTATCCGGGTAGGAGTCCTTCACTCGCGTCGCTTGACGTGTATACTGACCAGCATGTAGATCTTTCGCCCATGCTCCTGCCTACGCGAAGGCCTCTGCCGGCTGTGATTCAGTTCAGTCAGGATACCAATGTCAACCGCAAATCTCACCCTTCTGGGGTCCATACAGTCCTTTCTTCAGCGTGCCCTCTAGCATCTCCAGCCATGTGCCACGCGGTTGCACAGTCACCTTTGCCAACATCCTGTCCCGTCACGGTGCCCGCGATCCCACTGCTTCCAAGACAAAATTGTACAATGCCACCATCCAGAAGATCCATGCCAATACCGAACGCTATCCAGACAAATATGCCTTCCTCAAGGACTACCAGTATGATTTGGGAGCTGACCAGCTTACGCTCTTCGGTGAGCAAGAGATGATCAACTCGGGAACCAAGTTCTATCAAAGATATGAGCTCCTTGCGAACCACGTCACTCCCTTCATCCGGTCATCTTCTGAAGACAGAGTGCTGGAGTCCGCCTTGAACTGGACACAAGGCTTCCATAGTGCGAAGAAAGCCGATCCTCTCACACTCGGCCGCGATTCAGCATACCCGTATCCCATTGTCGTCATATCAGAGGCTGAAGGATCCAACAACACTTTGAGCCATGATCTTTGTACCTCCTTCGAGAACGGACCGGACAGCACAATTGCTGCGAATGCGCAGAAGACTTGGGCTGACACCTTCGTTCCGGCTATCCAAACTCGCATCAACAATGATCTGCAGGGCGCCAACTTGACGACCACTGAGATCATTTACTTGATGGATTTGTGTCCTTTCGACACAGTAGCATCTCCGAACGGCCGAGTCTCTCCATTCTGCGCGTTGTTTACAGAGACTGAGTGGCATCAGTATGGCTACTATGAGACATTGAACAAGTACTACGGCTACAGCTATGGCAATCCACTCGGTCCTACTCAGGGAGTCGGTTATGCCAACGAGCTGATTGCTCGCCTTACGAATAAGGCCGTGGACGATGCGACAAGTACGAACCACACCCTGGACGACAATCCCGCAACATTTCCCCTCCGTCGCGGCTTGTATGCAGATTTCAGCCACGACAACGACATGACTGCCATCTTTTCAGCTCTCGGTCTCTACAATGGCACAGAGCCACTATCGAACAGGACTCTGACAGAAGCGGACCACGCCAATGGCTTCAGTGCAGCTTACACCGTTCCATTTGCTGCGAGAGCTTACTTCGAAAAGATGCTCTGCGTGGGAAAGAGCGAGGAACAGGTCCGAGTGATCATCAATGATCGTGTTTTGCCACTGCAGCAATGCGGAGGAGACCGTCTCGGGCGCTGCTCCCTCGGCAATTTTGTGGATAGTTTGGGTTTCGCGAAGAGTGGCGGTCATTGGGATCAATGTTTTACATAGGTCTGCATGGTCTTTACTGCATCCAGTCGCGTAGCGGAGCTCGATAGTAGATCAACACAGCTGCAGAGCGGCCCCTTCCAGTTTGCATAGCAGTGACAGTATTCTATTCTGCCATTGGTGAAGACATCCCTGCGGTTCAAAGGAACGGCGTGGTGGCCTGACGAAGGCGCCGGGGACCTCAAGGTGGGGTGGGGCTAGAATATCTATACAATGCGGGGCTCAATGCATCGTATAAACAGAACGACATCCCTTGGCAACGGAGAGAAAGAAAGGTTCTGACGGGGTCAAGAAAGCGACTTATTTACCATTCACACGATCAGCGATGGTGAACCAAAAGGCCCAAGATGCCGTCCAGCAGTCTCTCGACTCGGTGACTGGCAACAAGGAGACAGGTATTGCCGGCATCGTCTTCGTAGCAGTCGACAAATCCGGAAATCAAATCTGTGCCAATGCCTCTGGCCGCAAGGGCTTGAACAGCCCAAAGCCCATGGATTTGGACACAGTCTTCTGGATCGCTAGTTGCACGAAGCTCCTAGCAACCATGGCTTGCATGCAGGCTGTGGAGCGAGGAATTCTGAAACTCGACGATCATCAGCAGGTCTACAAGTTGTGTCCAGAGCTTGAGAAAGTGCAGGTTCTGAAGGAAGACGGAACACTCGAGCCGAAGAAGAATGATATCACGTTAAGGATGCTGCTCACCCATACTTCTGGATTCGGATACGAATTGTACGTCTTTCCAGACGGCTCCAATCTTTTCACGCGGTACACTAACGCTTGGTACGACAGCTTCAACCCCAAACTGCGAGACTACGGCCGTCCCGTAGGCTTCGATGTTTTCCACGCAGATATCGGCGACATCCTCCGCATGCCACTCGTCCACCAGCCCGGCACAGTCTGGGAATACGGAATCGGCATAGACTGGGCCGGCATCGTCCTCCAGCGTGCAACGGGCACCGGCCTCAACGACTGGATCACGTCACACATAACCGGTCCACTCGGCCTGAAAAACATCAACATGTTGCCCACAAAAGAAATGAAGCAGAATCTAGCATACATGCATCAACGATGGCCCGGGTCCTCGGAAGTCGAAGAGCGAGACCACATCTACCGCGAACCCCTCCTCGCAGAAACAGAAGCCGAGAAGAAACGTCTCTTCCACTCCGGAGGCGCAGGAGCCTATGCCAAACCCACCGAATACGTCCAAGTCCTCGCCACGCTTTTGAACAACGGGCAAGGACCCAACGGTGCCCGGATTCTGAACCCCGAAACGGTAGACGAAATGTTCACGAACCAAATCCCAGAGGTAAATAAGCAAGTTACTTTTAACTTACTACTTATCCAACTAACACATCCCCCTCCCCAGCACCCCAACTTCGCCCGCCAAGGCATTCCAGCAGCAAAACCCGACCAAACGAATCCCGCTCCCGAACTCTACCCCCAAGAAGGCGACCCCCCGCAAGGCTGGGGTTTGAGTTTCATGCTCACGCAAGAACCCGGTGCGACGGGGAGAGGACGGAATACTGCGTGGTGGGCGGGGATTGCGAATTTGTTTTGGTGGGCGGATCGGGAGAGGGGGGTTGCCGGTATGATTGCTAGTCAGGTGATGCCGTTTGGGGATTTGAATGTTATGGGGCAGTGGGGGGCTTGTGAGGGGGCGGTTTATGCGTCGTTGTAGAATTAATAGGGGGATGTGATGTGATGTGTTGTGTTGTGTGAGATTTTTATATATATATATATCGTTTTTTTTTGGGATAGCTATACCATACTTGAGTTCTCTTATTCAAAGAGCCAGCCTGTCGCTTCTCACTAGCATGTATGTTGTTTGCTTGAGAAGACCGATTCTTCCAGATGAATGGATTGATATTTCCTTCCAGATCCTTACAGTAGGGGATTCTATCATCAGCACATTCCAAACAAAACAACCTCCAATCTCCTCGAACAGAACAGACCTAAATAAAAAAAAAATCCGATTGAACAACCAAAAAAAAAAAAAAAAAGGAAAATCGTCTCTGCAAAGCGACTCATCATCATCATTCTCATCAAAAGCTAGAAAGAAATACTGTAGAACTAGCTATTGTAATACAAAGTTCAAATTTTCAAACTCCCCCAAACCCACTACTAGCCAACAAACTCATCCCCCCATCCTCACCCAACCTCCCTCTCGTCCTCATCTTCAAAACCCCACCCCCCAATTTCTCCCCATCCCTCCTAACAAAAGCCCCCGGACAAAAAACCAAACTCTCCCCAACATTCAACTCCACAATCCGTGAAAACATACTACCACAACACCCACCCCTCTCCCCACCCAAAGCACCCCCAGCCAAATGTCCCTTGATCGCGTCAAACCACGCCGGAGAAGTGAATCGATGCACGATACTCGTGGAACACAAATCCAAAATTTTGGGGTCGAGGGTAGGTTCTTGGGTCGCGATGATGACGCGTGTGGCGTTGTGGCGTTGTTCGCGGATCGTGGTGCAGAGACGTTCGGTGAAATTTGTGGCTGCGGTGGAGCTTTTGGTTAAGAATTTGTGGGCTTCGTCGAGAGCGAGGACGAGGCCGGTGGGTGGGCGGTGGGATTTGATCAGGCTGAGACAGATGTCGAAGAGGATGCAGACGGTCGAGGGGTCGAGGAAGGGGTCGCTTAGGTCGAGGATTGTTAGGGAGGAGGGGGTTAGGTTGAAGAGGTTTGTGGAGGGGGGGTTCTTTGGAGACTTTTTCTTTGGGAGGGTTGGGTTTGGGATGTCGTCGGGATGCATGAAACTCTCTAAGAGGCCGAAACGAAGATTCATGGGACCGGTTTGGTCTCGCGTGAGCGTTTCTGCTGCGAGGAGTTTGCGGAAATGTTTGTAGTCGAATTCAGAAATTCCTTGAATGGCCATTTGGCGAAGGATGCGTTGGACAACTTCCATGTATAGAGGCGCGGGGCCTTCTTTTTCTGCGAGAGCCATGAGTTTGTTCATGCGCTCGATACTCAGATCCGCCGATCTCAGTAAGAGTGGTTGCACGGTCAGATTTCCGTGTCGTTCTCCGATCCTTTCGTACGCTTGTCTCAATGCCCTCTCGTTGCTTTGCGAGACCAGAACATTGACCTGAATGCCCTTCGAGCATAGATGTGCCACTTCCGCGATAGAGGAGGCACAGTCAAGATCATAGTGGAAGACAACACCAGAGACAGGATGTTGGACACGTCCGGTTTCAGCATTTTGCAGCAAAAGGTTCTCGAGCATGCAGCTGAGAGTGTAGCTCTTACCAGAACCTTGAGAACCGCAGATGAAGGTCGAGTTGGGAGCGTCGGTGTTGAGCATGATGGGTTCTTTATCGCCGATGGAGTCATCATTGGAAATATTGAAGCCTAAGAGGCCGTATTGTGGGAGAAGATCGGGTTGGTCGGGCTTCTTAGACCCACAAGTCGGTACTGGAGGGCTCGAGGAACCTGGCTCGGATACCAGACCGTCAGTGTCGTTGGATGATGTCTCCTCCTCCTCCTCCTCCTCCTCGGACAGGCCCTGATCGACTTTGTGTTTCACCGCGAGTGAGAACAAGGGTGTGGTGCGAATCTCTTCATTGCGACCAGAACGCCCAGTGGTGGAAGCGTTGAGGAATTTCTGGAAGTAAATCTTGTCTTTCTCGTATGCTAGATTGCCCATGATGCTAGCTGGTGGAGTGTTTATCGTGGTTTGTCGATGAGCGTTACAAGAAGCGATCTGGGTCGACTTTTATGCCCGCCAGATCGTGTCTTCAACCCTACTTTTGAAGCTGCCTGATTCTCACACAAAGACAAGTCGTTTGCTCCCACCTAAGTCTTGTCTTACACATATCCTACACAATTCCAGTCATGTCTCGCTCAACGCCGGCGATCGAACATGCATCTGAACGAAACCTTTTCACTTCTGCGGCAAATCTCTAAAAACCTTTGCGAAAATGTCCTTGGCTTTGTAAAGATTCTGTAGTCTCAGTCTTTCATTGTCCAAATGTGCGCTGTCACTAGCTTGACCACAAGGGAAGTGAGCAGCAGGTGCATCAAACTCCTTCTCCAGGAAACGAATAGCTGGAATGGAGCCCCCTTCTCGAATGTATAGCGGTTTCCGTCGCTGCTTCGGCTTCTTCTCCGGAGGCGTGATGATCTCCTCGAGCTTGTTGGCGACCTCAGCCATTGGCGTGAGGGGAGAAGGCGTTTCGACACTTTGGTGGGCGAGGGTGGTGGATGTTGCTGGCGATGGCTTCGCAGGCTGGTGTCCATTTGCCAACTGTCTAGGGATGCCAAGCTTGAATGCCGCTGGAGGGGAGCTCCGATGGTGGTTAGTCTGGGTCTCTGTAGGTCCCCACGCGTCCATGATGGCTTCTTCAAGAGTCTTGAACAGGTCGTTAGTCCAGTCTCCTAGCCAAGGCTCGGCTTTGTGGTCGATGGTCACAGTAAGACGGTTGTTCGATTCGAGTTGCTTGAAGCCAGATTCGAGGTGGGTCTGCAAAGCTTTCGCAACCTCTGATGCTTCCTGGTTCGGTACGAGACGTATCGATAGCGCGGCTTTCGCCATACGCGGAATGATCGTGGCGTTGTCAGGGCCAGAGGTTTGGAAGCGATGAATTGTCAACGAAGCTTCTCGCCACCTTCGCATGAGAGATGTAGCGAGTGCTTCGGGGTCGCCGAGGTCAGGGTTCCTCGACACTAGAGCGTGAGTGATGTCTGCGTACAATGCTGCTTCAGTATCGCTGACTTCTGGTACAGGATCGTAGAAGCCAGGAATCTTCACTTCTCCATTCTTGCCTGTCAGTGTTCCGAGCAGCAAGACCAAGTCCTTCAATGATTCGTCTAGCTGCGCACTACCGTCGACACCAGAGTGCAAGTCCGGATGATTGCTTTCGATCTGCACAGTCGCATGAATGACACCTCGAAGGCCATACGTCAGACATGGTGTTCGATCGTCCAGCCAGTAGCTATTCGCGAGCAAGATCCAATCTACTTCGCCAATCTTATCCTTGCTTGCCTTGACAGCTTTTTCGAAGCCTCGCGAACCGCTCTCCTCCTCACCTTCGATGAGGAAGACAATGTCTGAGTCCAGAGCGTGTGTTGTCATCAACTCAGCACAAGCAAAGATGGCGGCCATGATTGGTCCCTTATTGTCAGAAGTGCCTCGGCCGTAAAGATAGCCGTCAATGCCTTCCATTGCGAATGGGTCGACTATCCATTTGCCGCTGGCGTTGTTCGCAGCAACAACGTCGTAGTGACCGTAGAATAGTATTTTCTTGCGTTGTGCTCTGGTCGCAGGGTTACCTCGAAAGCGAGCAAGGATGACTGGATTGCACCCATCTTCAGCTGGGAGCATCTCTGTAATGGCGCCAAAGTTCTTGAACACCGATCGCAAGTATGAAGCCGCTCGCCTGCAGTCCGCTTTATGTCGCTGGTCTGAGCTGACTGTCCTGAACGCCACAAATCGCCGTAAAGACTCCACTAATTGTTCATTGCTGGTCTTGCCGGGTACGATGCTGAGCCTGATGCAGTCTGTAATATCCCACACCGCCAAACTGTTGTCGTTGGATCCAGTCACATAGACCGGCTTGCCTTTATGGAAGGAAAATGCCGATGCGAGAATGCGGCCGTCATGGGCCTTGAACCTGGTCTTGAGTTGATACTGTCGATCGAATTTGCGCACATAGCCAGTCACTGCAGCACTGAAGAGAAAGCCGCCACCGACAGTCAAGGACTGCACATCGTCTCGATGCGCCTTGAGATTCCGAACAAGCTGCTTCGTCTCCAGATCCCAGACATCGACTTCACCGCCGCTGCGTCCTGAGTAGACGAATGTGCCGTCCATGGCAAGCGCCAGTATCGCGTGTCCCTCTTCTCTGCCATCGTCCAGCGAATATAGCTCTTCTACAGCGCCTCCATTCTCCGCATTGAGTTTCCAAAGCTTGATCACACCATCTCCGCCTCCTGTGACCAGAGTGTCCTCTCCAGATCGCTCCGGCACTCCATCTCTCGCCAACAACATGCAATAGACATATCCATAGTGCGCAAAGTGCTTCACGTCCGCCTTGTCGATTTCAAGCTCATCCCCGCCGACGGCATGTTTGGGTACAACATCTGAGCCCGCAGGCTTCGGTGTCCGCACGCCGCCAGGTCCTCTCGAGTCGAAGAAGCGGTCATCGTCGCGCACTGCCGCAGGCAGACTCTTGATCGATTGTGGGGAGATGCAGCACCACTGTATCATGGTGTTCTGTGAGCCCAGATACGCCGTGTCCAGGGCAGCGGAATATGCGACGCAGAAGACATCGCCAACGTCAAACGGCGATCGCAAACAACCCGTCCTCTTCAGTGTTTTCGTATCCCATATGTTGACGACCCTGTCGCCTGAGCTCGAGAATAACAGCTTTTGGTCTTGCGATATGCATAGGCCTAGCACCGAGCCTCTGTGGCCTTCCAGCACCGCCCTCTTCTCATATGTGCCTAGGTCGTATACCAGAATTTCTCCTGCTTGCGTGCCTGCATAGATATGCTCTGACGTGAGAGCTATGGCGAGGATAGAGGAAGTATGGCGAAGGCGTTGGCTCAGGGAGGGAATCGTGCTGCGTGGATCGCCATGGTCCGGACTGGGCGGTCTGCTGGAAGACTCTCTGGTGGGTAATGAAGAAGGTTCAAAGTCGGAAGTTTCTGAGCCTGTGGTGTTGATGGACGGCGTCAGTGGTCGGATGCTGTTGCTGGGCACTTTCTTGTGTTTGTGGTTCGGAGACATGAAGAAGGTGCATCGAATGTGGTATGGTTCTAGCGGGAGAGTGGAGATGGTTACGGAAGCCTGGCTTTCTCCTCAAGCAGAGGGCCAACTTGTCATCTTCCACCATACAATCAACAACGACCGTCTGAGGTTGAAAGGGGTGCATGGGGATGTGCTCGGGTGTAGGTGTAGGATAACGCGTGGGATACACGCGATCGAAATGCACGTACGTACCGTTGAGTGCTGCGTCATTATCCACGGCATGACTTTCGACCCATTGACCAAATCGATCCTCACTGCAGTCACGCCGGATGGCAAGAGGCATTACGAACACCCATCGAATCCTTCACGCGAACCGAAGCGGTCTGGCCTACCTTATAAATGCGGTCTCGGTCGTGACTCAGGCCCATTGCGTGATCAAGCCAACCGCCACACTGGGAGCAGAAATAGGAGGTCCGGGATCGACTTGCGGTCAAGCGATCCTTGCTGTGAAACAATTTTCCTGCGGTGAGCATTCGGAATAACGGTACGCGTCTATACACCGCCCAGAACTACATGTCATTTGGCTGAGCGATGGCGGCATTGGCACGACCCTAGCCTTTCAATCCGGGCACTCTGGAAGCTGTGGCACGATCTTTTGTGTCGTGCACCTTGTATTCATTCATTCCATCATGTATTCATCCTCCTCATCGATCCTCCCTCTAAGCCTTCGCTTTATCAACAACCGGATCCTCGTCCGAGAAGTTTATCGATACCGAGTTCACACAATGTCTCTCATCCGTCGGCGTAGCATATCCCTCTCCCTTGAACACATGTCCCAAATGCCCTCCACAATTGCTGCAAACGATTTCCGTCCTCTCCATACCAAACGTGCGATCGGTGTGTCTTGTCACCGCTCCTGGAACTGCATCGAAGAACGCAGGCCATCCGCAGCCTGACTTGAACTTGTGGTTGGCTTTGTAGAGAGGAGCATTGCAGCCGGCGCAAGTGTAAGTGCCTGACGTAGGCATGTGTTTGTCATATTTGCCCGTGAACGGTGCTTCGGTGCCCTTTTCGCGTAGGATCCGGAATTGTTCTGTAGATGTACTGTCAGATGATGCGCTCGCTACATGAGACCTTAATGGAGCGCTAGGATCCGCACTCCAGAGCTTTGCTTACCTTTGCTCAACTGCGCTTGCCATTCTGAAGCTGGCTTGTCTGCTGGGTAAGTCATCTTGCGCGATTCTGATGTGGAGAAGAGCGCGCCGATGAATGGAATTGGCATGGAAGTTCGCAAGGCGGAGAGTGGTCTTGCGATGGAGTTGAATGGTGCCGGTGCCGCTCGGAGAGTGTTGTTGGAGAAGGCGAAGAGGGTTTGGGTGAAGGTGACGAAGAATGCGCGCATTTAGACTGTCTGGAGAGTGGCGGAGTTGCGTGGGTCGAAAGAGGGAGGGTGTTGGTCTCTTTGGAATCACATCGACCTCCTTCAGTCGACGTCGACGTCACCAAAGAGGCAACTCGATCGGCAGAGCTGCTTTGGAATCACATCGACCTCCTTCAGTCGACGTCGACGTCACCAAAGAGGCAACTCGATCGGCAGAGCTGCACAGCTTCTCCGACCTCCCTTCACCACCACCCTCTCACGTCTCACCAACGCGCAACAAAACATTCTGCGTGGACGATATTCTGTTCACACCATCTCTGGTGCAAGAGCAAGGAATTCACACGTAAAATGGATCTCAAGAGTCAGGGCATCGCAGCGTGATGGCTTCTTTGTTTCCTTCCGACAGAGAATCTATGTCCAGGTCCCCGGACTTCGCAATCGGCTATCTAAAAGAGGACTATGGATCACAACACACGAAAGAGCTTTCCAGTCAAAGAATCCTCGTGCATCGCCCGGACGGATTGCAAAACCAGAGACGATCCGGCATGGGAAGTGCAAGAAACACATCATCAGGCCATCGTCTCGTCCACGGTCTACCATGACCCCGGGTGATCGGCTCATGGCCTATCTGCGAAGACGAGATGTCCCAAATCACTTCGCGGCCTCATTGCGAGCACGTCAGCTCATGGTGGAACACGCTGCGCTTCTTAAAGCTGCGGAAGCTGAGCTCCAGGATTTCGATCGGAAGCACAGTTCGGAAATGGCTGGGATCTAGCCATCGTGCGGAGGAGAACTGCACTCGAGTCTCGGCGGAATAGACTGAAAGCAATTATGAGGCGGGCACAAAGGCGCTGTCACACATTGTGCGACGAGCCCGCTTTCGAAAATGCATAGCGTGCTCTTCACAGCCCCGGCTGTCTGGAGGCTCTGGTGGACGACCAGCGGCTTAGAGAATTGCTATTCCCCGAAGATCCAGAGCGAGACTCGCAAACAGACAACGAATTCCTTTTGTACTTGTCTGGAGAGACTGGAAGATTGCCAGATTTGCTGGTTGCATCCATTCAAGCTCGGCATGTGATCTACGAGGGCTACGCAATCGACGACAAGATGGAAGGTGAATACAATGCGCGAGTGCAGCGTATGGACGACAATGCTGCGGCTATTGAGGAATGTCGTCGCGCCAATGTACCAGATGAAGATCCACAAATTCATGAGAAGCTGCAAGCGGACGCTCAGATGGCAGTTCAGCTACGAGAGTATGTCGACCAATGGCAAGCTCTTGAAGACAGCCTCAAAACGGCGTTCAAGCAGGCCCATATATATGACAGCCAGGTTATGCGCGCAGCTTCCGAGGCCCTAAGAGGCACTGAGCTCTTAGAAGGGAGGACCGATCTGTCAATCCTTCGTCGTCAGCTCTTCGAAGGCGAGAAAGTTCCTTTCCCGTCTCAAGCAACTTCCTCAATAAACAGTGAAGCGGCGGCAGATGAAACTCAAGATGACCGTTCGCAATCATCTCCTCAGGAAGCAGCAAAGCGAGAAAGAAACAAGGCATGGAAGGCATATGTCGATGCCCAAGCCCTCCTCGAGGAGCATCTCAAAGGCTATCATGCGGCGCTGGACCAACACAATAACGGACAAGACCCTGGAATTGCCGGATGGAAAAATTCATGGTCTACTGTAGAATTCGACCTTAACCGGCTCCAACACGGCCAAGAAATGACGCGCAACGCAATCGAAAGCGAGAATCGCTTGCTTCGTGCTCTGAAAGTGGCGCAAAAATCACAATGTACCTCCTTTCGAGCAAATGAAATTCGCATTCCCCGACCAAGCCGACGATGGGGAATTCTCGCCCAAGTCCCAGGCTGAGACTTGCAAAAGCGCCGCGGTTGAAGATTCAAAGGTGGATGGGAGACCTGCCGAGCACACCTTTGCGAGATCGACATCATGATGAGATGAAGCCTCCGCCATCTACGACGACGATATACCTTCGGACTCCGAAGAATTGGGAGTCTGAAAGTGTCACGGCGGGTCAGACTTATGGCAAAATTTTCCAGAAGATACGGCCGAGGGGACCGGGAGGTGGGACACTTGAGGCTGTTTCTGAATTCGAGGAAAGTGAGGATGCTTTCAAGTAGTTGATGTCACGTCATCGAAAGACACCAAAACACCTTGTTGGATGATGAAAATGAACCAGGCGTTCATTTCCAGAAATGCGTCCCCTCCAATCAGCTCACAGTCCCAGTCTAGCTAGTCTCTTAGTCGTTCGTAGCCATGTCGTGAGGGACTGTTCTTCTTGCAAGGACAATGCTTCATTTTACTCCGCTCCGGTGGTAGATGGGAGAAAGTTTTGAGAGGACTGATCGAGGTATGCAGCAATGTCAGTCAATCATGGAAATCTCCTTGCCCAGTGCCACGGAAGAGTACTTCAATGCGTACTGTTTACAAAACTTATATGTAGTGCTTACTGCCCGCGATAATAAAGCTGTGGCGAGGGCTCCTTTAGAACGGACATCACCTATCGCCTATTGCGGAGCTAGCTGTTTTCGGTATAGCTGCTATTCTTGCATCTGCACCGATATCACATTCCTCATCAATGCCTCATCTTCGTTCGGAAAATCTACGCACTTATTGAGGACGCGACCGTCTCCTGCAGTGGAGTGCATTCGGGAAGTCGAGGCCTTAAAGCCGCTCCGGGAACGACTGCGAGGCAAGTGCAGCGGGACACTCAAGTGCTAAGATAGAATACCGGTTCTTGGCATCCGAAATGAAACGCGAGATGTTGTGATGTGTTGAAGCAGTGAAAAGGAAACTTTAAAAGTCTCGCAACAAGAAAAAGCAGTCGCCAAGCAAACACGAACACGACATCGGAACACGACATCTCACAACCACCCTCTATAACAAGAATCCAAGGAATACGCAGCAGCCATGGCTACTCCTACCCCAGCGGAACCCATCCTCGCCAGCAACCTCTACACCCTCGAGACCGCAAATCAAACCCCACCTCCAGAAGTCCTCCCAAACCAATGGCAACCACCCTTAAAAACCTCATCCCTAACCAACGACTTCAACTTCAACTTCACCTCCAACTCCCTCAACTACATAACCACCCCCTCCCGCCCCGAAACCCAAGACCTCCTCCAAACCCTCCTAACCACCCACCTCCTGAGTTCCAAAACCTCCACAGCCACAGTAATCGACAGCACACTTGACTTCGACGTCCGAAAACTCCACAACACCCTCAAAGCACAAATCAAAACCTCACTCCAACTCCCCACGAGCAGCCACCACCACCACTCCGAAGAAGATACCACGCTCCAACATCTCTCCCGCGTGAAAATTTCCAAAATCTTCGATCTCAAAGGCTTAATCGAGACGATATCGGAAGTTCAAGCCGAGGATTCCCATAAGCACGACTTTCTCCTCCTCATCATCACCAACCTCACCAATAATCTCCTCCTCTCCCCGAGTTACGTACAAACTCAAGCGACCTTCACTTCGCTGATGCGGCTTCTGGACCATCTTTGCAAAACGCGAAATTTGTGTGTGGTGGTTTTCGGGGATGGGCGGCGTGCGAACAAGAAGAAAGTCGAGGAGGAGGAGGAGAGGTTGAGTATGTTTGAATCTTGTGGGATGAGTGAGGTTTTGGGGGGTGGGTGTGGGGTTGGGGGGTTGGTTGATGGGCATTTGTATCTTCATAAGGTGTTGAGAAGAAGAAGGAAGCGGGAAACTGGAGGGGGGGATGGGCATGCGCTTGTGTTGGAAGTTGTGCAGGATCGGTATGGGGATGGGTATGGCCAGTGGGTTGCTTTGGAGTATGATTCCGAAGGGAGGCTTAAGGGTATATCATGAGGAGGTTTTCGGGGACGCGATTCAGCTTGTTTGTGGTGTATAATCCTTATCATAAAACAAGTGCCCCCCCTCCGGCCTGAAGCCAGATCTCATCTCATCCCATCCCATCCAGAATATCTACTACACCTTTTCCGTTGTCCTCACTGCCCCCCTTCCGGCAAATTACTCTCAAAATGCGGCAAAAGCCTCGAAGCCTTAATATTCCTCTCCTCCTTCTTCGCATCCAACAATCCCAAACTCCTAATCTGCCCAGCAGTAGGCGCATCATCTCTCGGAGTAGAAGCCTCACGTTTCCGATAAGCAGCTTGAAGAGCCGAGATTTTGACAGCCTATCTCATCAAAAAAAAACAACATCAGTCTCACATTCTCCACTTACTTTCCACGTACTGCTTTTGTTTCCCTTCATACCTCTTTCCGATGATGCAAACACTCATAATAATCCTCCAGGACAGGTTGACATTTCTTTTTCCCCGAGGTGTCTTCGGCGTTGGTGTTGATTACGTAGCAGGCGAGGACTTCTTGCCAGAAGGGAAAGCAGCGCGAGGGGCCTGTGTGGGAGAGAATGGGAGCGTTAGTATGGGATGAATTCTCTTGCGGGCTGGGGGAGCTCGAGAGGGCATGTTGGTGTCAATGCCCGGGTTTCATACCTCCTGCGAGACCGTAGCCTGAAGACATGCTTGGAAGCTGTGAAGACGTCGTTGTGGTCCGCGAGAGCTTCAATGGCTGTATGTCGCGACGTTCAGTCCCGTCTGGTCGGCAGTGATTCCGCTGACTGAGCAGCCGGATCCGATACCGAAAGTCTATCTCGCTAAATTGAATTGGAGCGTTCCATGGGACAACAGAACGTACTTTGTTTTAATGCATTTGATCGCACGAGTCCTATCAAATCGAGCGCCTGTATGCAGCTTATCGCCATGGTACAGCATTTTGTGCTTCCGCATATACGTTGAGATCCTCCTATCCAACGTGCTCTACTTTCAAAACCCCCCCATGTCTCACCATGCACCATGCATGCACTCCACCTCAACAACCCTCCTCTTCTACTCATTCATATTTGAAAGCCTCTGCCGCCGTTCCCTGACACGCTCTTTCCAAAGTCAAGAAAGCATAATGGCTTCCCACCACAGGTCTAGCAAAGAAATTCGGTCCTGGAAATCCTCCATCTCCTTCAGTCTTGTACAGATCTGTGAAGGGTCGATCAGAAGCCGTCTCGTTCAACCAAAAGGCAACTTTGTCCAAAATCTGGGACCTGGTTTTCTTGCCGGCGACTGCGGCTGCTTGGAATTCCCAGTCACTCTTGGTATACAAATGGCGCGAGTCCAGAGGAAGCCCGAACTTTTGCATCACCGTCTGGTACCAATCCGACTGTGTGCGGTAAATATGATCTGGAATGAAGTTCTGCTTGTCTGAAGACGCGCCACCAGGTAAGAGTGGCTCTTGAGTACCCATCTTGTAATGCTCCCGTGAGCTTGGGGTCGCGTTGAGTGATGGATGGAAGCAAAGGAGCGCATCGGCATACAGCGAGTAAAGAGTGGTCCAGCTGCCGTACCAGTTGTATGCGAGCTTCGCACGACCTCCATCACGGCTCATGCCCTGGACCTCCCACTCCCTGATGTAGGAGCTGCTCAGATCGCGATAATACTTGGCATCCTCCTTCTCACCAACAACTTCAGCAAGCTCACTCATGGCCTTGATACCAATAATACCCTTCAACGCCAAATTGGTCATCAACGGAAGCCAACCGGCAAAATCATCTGTACAGAGCTGGTTCTGCGGATAGAGCGAGAACTCCTCGAGGTATCCTGTCCACTGTTTCCACAGTCGATATGTACGCGAGACCCACTTCTTGGCCTGATGCTCGGAAGCAACGCCTCCCCAAGCGTCATCCAGACCGAAGATACCATCCCTAGTTTCGAGAGTGGCTGGCAGAGCGAAAGGACTGACGTTGTTGTCGGACTGCATCTCGATCTCGCTCTCGCTCTTTGGCTTTCCCATTGCGCTCCACGGCGACTGTGCCTCACTAGCGGATCCATACTTCAAGCTGTTGACAATTGCGAGACCCATGATGAGCATGTCACCACATTCTTCGACCGGCATGTATTCATCTCTTCCGTCTGGATGTCCCGTCATGTTTGGGAAGTGGTAGCCGAGATCGTGCATCGAATAATCGTTCGGATATTGGCCGCTTAGCATGTGCTCGAGGAGAGGCTCGAGGAGGTAGGCGAGCCACTTTGGCTGTGTGTAGAGGAAGAAGGGGAAGGCAGGAAAGATGACATCGACTGTCTGGCAGTTTCCATTGCTGCTGATCTCCTTCAAGAAGAGGATTGGGTTGTCTGGAGTTCCGCTGAAGCTCGTGGCACCCATGACTTGACGCGCACTGAGCTCTACGATCTCCTTGTAATTGTCGCTGCCACTAGCATAAGCATCTCTCGCAACACGGCGAGAGTATTCAGAAGCAAGTGCTTGGACGTGCTTGAAGTCCTGGTAGTGGAAGCTGACTAGAGCATCATCTGAGAAGAAGTAAGACAGCCAGAGTGGTCTCATCCAGGTCAGTCCTCTGCTTGAAGCGAACTGCGTCACCTGCCATTGAATGTGCGTAATGGTGAAGAGCACGCTGTCTTCTGCAGCTTCCTCTGAGTATTTTGAGCTCAGATTAAATCTTTTGCTGAATGCAAACACAGGCTCTTCATCCATAATCTGACGGAAAGACTCGTCCACAGCATTTTCCAGCTTACCGGTCTTCGAAAAGTGCTTGCGCAGCAGGGCAGAGGTGCCGGCTTGGTGGTGGACATCAGCAGGTCCTGTAAAGTGTAAGGTACCCCATTCGGCACGATCCTGGATCTCAGTGAAGTGTTGCTCATGACTCCTATGGACTCTGAAGGTCTTGAGCTTCGCTGTATCCTTGTGATGCTGCTGGTGAAGCGACCACTCGATTCTGGACCCTCGGTCTCCGCTTACCCACTGTCCGTTGACGTCAATATAAATATCAACATCAAGATTTCCCTTGACGTGGACTGTCACATAGCTTGCGGGGATGGATTGGCGCAGGGTCGAGGTTGGCGTGACGGGAGAGAGGAAAGACAGGATGATGTCCACAGAGGCATTGGAGCTCTTGGAAGAAGGGATGATTGTATAGGTAAGGTTGGTGACCGAAGCATCGTACTGAGCACCGAGATATTTAGGATACGCTATACTGTAATGACTGCTGTCGTGGTCCAAGGAATCGTGAGGTCGGCCGAGGAGAGGATAGACTGTCGAGGTTTCTGGCACCGAAGCCAGCACACCAAAGCCGACCTACAGGAGATTCAGCATTGCTTCAAATCCCCAAACGCTATCGCGTACGCTTTGTCCCGTCCAGAACATTGGCCATTTCGACCACGGCTCCTCTCTCGCATCAGCCAGCCATGTCGAGAGGTATGGATTGCGCACGATAAGAGGCAACACAGGCGGCGTCAGCGTGGATGCTGCGCTGAGACTGCATAGCAGAGAGACCACCAGGGCCTTCACACCTGCAGCGCGCATGATACTGCCGGCTCCAAAGAAAAATATCAACCTCACGATGGCAGAGTGTGCGTAGCGGCTGGTGTGGTAGAAAAAGAAGGGACGATCGCGCTGCAAACAAACAACGAAGCTCTCCTGAGAGCCCGCCGCTTTGCACCCCTCCAAAGTCTAAGCTACGAGGCAAGGGAGGGTCGTCTGACACTCTGCGGCTAAGGCCTTGTTTACCTCCTGGATTAAGAGGTTGGATTTACGCTTAATCCACGCCTTCTTGTCTAATCCTGTCGATATATCGTCTTTGCCGTTGTTTACCTCTAATCTAGTGGATTAAGAAGGTCTCTAATCTAGTGTCTAATCCAATCTCGGTATACTTAATCTAGAAGGTATACGCGTTAAATCTACGCACTGCAAAAACTAGCGCGTCTATACCTTGTTGTTTTTTATAGAATCAAATCTAGTCGCTATTCTATTGCTATTTACCTTTCTAGTATTATATGCTCTTTCTTAGTACTATCTTCTAGTCGGTAGAATAGCGCTCGAACAATAGGAAATCGATACGTACGAGAACTTAGCGCCATTGCTAACTATAAGCATAGTTTTAACGGTTCTTCGAGCGGCGATCGAGAGGTAGGAACGACCGAGATATCGACCGGCAGGTATTATAACGACGCTCGTTTGTCCGGAACTAGGAGGTTAGTAGACGACTGTAATGCTAACTAGACCTAAGCATTATGCGTACAGAGCGACACGTATACGGCAGCCGGTTCTACGCGCGTTTGTAGACGAGTTAGTGCGCAATTACGAGCTTACTAGCAGCGATAGAATCAGTCCTGCTAAGCAAGTAGTTATATTCTTAGAGATAGCGGCGCACCGGTTGACGATAGCTAAACTGGCAATAACTTATTAGCATTCAACTCGGAGTGTTAGTCGCGCAATCTATAAGATTAGTATCCTTTATTACCGCCTATATAAGGAATACGTAACCTAGCCGAAGCGCTTAGATCTAGTGCCTCGAGCGGTATATAACAACCCTAAGATGTAGCTATATTTCAATAGTTGTATAGGCGCTTTAGATAGCACTTACGTTAGGTTTAAACCGTAGAAGATGCCTAATGCTAGCGCGTACCGCAATCGGAAGGGCGAAGTGTCGCAGAACGTACTTAGAGCGTGTAACTTCGAGGGCAATTTTACCTATATTCTGCCTAGTTATAAGGGATTAGCAAACGACGGCACTGTATTAAAGAAAGCGCTTAAGAAGGGGTTGTCTATACCTTCGAAGAGGTTCTATCTAGCGGATAGCGGTTACTCGAAGAATGTCGATTATCTCCTCGTACCGTACTAGAAGACAAGATATTACCTTCGCGAATGGCACGCTTCTGCTTAGAAGCCTAAGACGAAGGAAGAATTGTTTAATCTGCGGCATAGTTAGCTTCGCAATAGCATTAAGCGGCAGTTTAGAATAGCTAAGGAGAGGTTTCCAATCCTTAAAGATAGTCCTTCGAAGGGGTATTCTGCTAGGTACTAGAGTCGCTTTGTTATTGCTCTCGCCGCTATTACTAACTTTATAAACACTTACCGATAGACGCCTGAAACGGACGACTATTTGCGGTAGCAACCGACTAACAGAGATATCGGTTTTAATAATGTCGAGGAAGATATCGAAGCGGACGAGGTAGATTAGATAGCGCGGCGTAGTTAGATAGCGGTTTATCGTAACAAGATAGCGACTATTATATAGCGAGATTATTATAGGAGGTTAGAAGCCAACCAGCCGTACGAAGAGGATTAAGTGTCGTTGTTAGAGGGTGTTAGAGAAGGGGGAAGTAATAGCGGATATCCGTAGATAGTGCGAAATCGTAGCTTCGTTCGGTACGTACGAGTCTTGGCGTGTTTCCTTACCAAATTCGCCTGTTTCTAATGCAATCCGGAATCGCAGGAAGATGCTAGACTATATTGTTATCACTCTCGTTACTCTCGCTATCCTCTAATCGATTCGATAAGGTAAGAAGCGGGTATATCCGAGCTTAGCGTCAAAACCCGACACCTATTGCTGCATCGATATTATCCCTACAATAACACTACCATTTTTTTTCTGTGTTCTAATCAGTTAAGAGTTCATTAGCAGGCGCTTTATATAAAAAAACAACGATAAAAATTGGTTATATCGTTGTTAAGGAAACTTGTAATAAAGTCAAATTTTATAGTTTTTGCCAAGCTTGCGGCTTAGCTTTACATGCGAATATATAAGGCAAAGAATCTAAGCCTTTCTTAGGACGATAACATATCTGAGAATAAGCGTAACGGTAACTTCGGGGCCCGTTCTGTAATGTTTACGCAAAAAGTAACAATACCTTCTCCTAAATTTATAGTATAGACAACCCCGCAACATTCTATACAATGCGCGCTGCCTAACCCTATTTCCGCTATATTACTGGCGATAAAACTGCTCGTCGTACCCAACCTAGCTTCTATATTGCAACTCTTGCACCGACGGCAATAGTCCACTATTGTATCTACTAAGTGATTAATACACTAGATAATCTTCTAGTATGTTCTAAGGCATCGGAAACTGCTGCTAATGATAGTATTCCGACCGCAATAGGTGTTAAACTAGCGGTTGAAATACATACTAAGAAGCCGGCTCTTAGGCAGGCGGAGCAGGAGTTTAAGTCTCGGTTATTAGCATTACCTCCTTCTCGATAATAGCATCCATTTCATCGTCACTAATCTGCTTTTTATTCTTCTTATACTTCTTTAGCAAGTACTTTAGCATCGGCTCTAGGTCCTTATTAGGGCAGCCGATTATACGGTTAGCTGTCTTAGAGCCATCTTCTACGATTAAGTCTTAAATGTCCATCCGCTAACTGAACGGCAACTTCTTAATCCCTTCAAGATTTATTGCTCTCTAGATCGCTATAGCAGTAACAGTTAAAGGTGGCTCTGCTACCCGTCTTCGACTAAAAGCAAGGTCGTTTATAATATGCCGAATTGGCGCTTCTAACCTATTAATAGCAGCTACTATTAGGTCCTTTATATAGCTTCGTCTCGGCTTAGGCTAACTCTTAGCTATATTCGTAATAGCTTGCCTTTGCAATAAAGTATTTCCTCTTCTACGACCTCTTCTACGGCTTACTAAAGAACCTCTACTAACGTTTGAATTAACAGACGAAGATCTTGAACCCGCTAGCAGTAGTAAGCTAACCCGACTTTGAACTGCGCCTACTAACCGATTATTAACTTCTCGCTCTCGTACGGCTCGTACGCCTAGACTAGAAGGCTATTCTTCTTCGTTCGCGTAAACCTCTTTATCCTCTTTACCTTCGGCATTATTATTACCTCCGGCATTATTGTCTCTAGGCAGGCGCGGCCTATTCTTATTATTCGACTCGTCTTTACTAAGATCGCCGAGATCGTCCGCATTTAACGCCTTATCGCTAGTCGCTAATTTATCGCTAAATAACTAATTAAGATAGGTAAAGAATAGCAGGTATGCGCGCCTAAATACCTTACTTTCTAGATGTTCTCTAAAATAGTCATCTTCTACATTAGTCTTAGCACTCGGTAGATCTCCTTACTAACCGCTCGTACGAGCTAAGTACGCCTTCTATTCCTTCTAGGTTGGCCTAAACGAGTTATACTTATTACGCGTTTGCTTTATTATAACCGCTATTCCGACCTCCTTCTTATACTTCAAATTTATAGTATCCGCTACGGACTGGATTACCTTATCTAGAAAGCCTTAGTTGTCGTTTTAAGTACTCAGATCGTCCGCTAATAACTCTAGCATCAACTTAATAATCTCGTCTGTCTATAGATATACTAGCGCGCGAGTCCTTCGCTGTTTAATAGTGCCTTCTTTATTACTTCCGCGCTCTCGTTTCTTCGCCGTAGAGGTCTTCGACGGTGTCTTCGTAGGCTTCGATCTACTCGCTTTTAGTATAGGAGTTAGTGTCCGGAAGGCCTTCGGCGCTATGGCGATATAGCGGCGATATAATAGCGACAATAGGCCTTCAAACGACGACACTATGCTATAGAGACAAGAATATAGATAACGCGAGGTTTGGACTTGCTAAGCAACCGCCTGAGGCAGTTATACTATACTGGATTTGCTATTATTTACCTCTCTACGCTAACAACTAATCCACCGAGTTAAAGACGACTGGATTTAAAGACGCGTTAAATCCATACTGGATTAACACGAGGTAAACAAGGCCTAAACAAGAGCCCATCCAGCTCGCGGCGTGGTCCTGGTCCTGGAGAGGATGCGAATCGATGTTGGTTACGAGCACTTTCTTCGCGCCTTGTGGAGGACGAGCTTCCACGCAGCACGGGAGTAGTCGGACAAGCTCATCATTTTCGGCAAGCTGCATGACGATGCGGCCTGCAGCGTGAACGGTCCGCACCCTTAGACGGCTGAAACACAGGTCTGATACTGGATGCGAACGTGTGCACTTCCTGTTGTGGGCCGTTCTGAGTGACAACAGTGGCTTTCCCAATAATGTCGACAATGCGAAATGCAATTCCAATGACCAGGTACTGTCACTACTGCATCGCGTCGGAGGCTGCTTGCCTGAACCATGGCGATGATCGGGCCTAAAATCCCGGGGAAAGATTTTGCCGCGATTCTGCTATATGTGTCTTTGTAGACCGCGGAACTCATCCTCCTTTGGGACACTCCGGACGAGCGATGAATTAATTTTGTATATACGATAGACTACGTCCCATTATAACTATCACAGTAGTGAAGCTTATGCTCAAGAAACGACGGGAATGTGTGCTGACGTACTAAGCATCTCCGATGCAATCGTTCGTCAATCTGCAGCGATTTAGCTACCGTGATCCTGTAAGCTAGTGTATATGCCTTGTCAAGGAAATGCTCGACACTCCCATAGAGATTGAATGCGTTGGCCTTATTTAGAAGTCATGCATTCGAGCCTCGGCAGCACGTCATCTGAGATCTCGATATGAGGCTGATAGCTGATCGTCAAAAGCACGCCGTTGGTTGTCAATCTTGCAGATGATTCCCCGTATCATCAGCCGCATGCAAAATTCTGCCAAGGTCTCTCAGAGCTCGCAGGTCGGCGTTCCTTTAGAGCTCCAGCGAGTCAGGCCAATGTCTCTTCCGAAATGCCTCTTTCCTTCTGTGAAGTTGGATGGCACGGATTAATTCCAAATTTGCCTGGTCTCGCTCGTCAGAAAATGGCGATCGTAGCCAATTATTACAATGGTACGAAAGTGATCGTGGCCTCGGAAAGGAGATGGTGCGGCTCGGTGCAGCAGTGGTAAGGCTCCTCCGCCCTATTCGTAGCGATGCATGTGATCGCACGAGCTTATATACATTATCCTGATGCAGTCTAGACTGGTTAGCTCTGTGCACTGAAGAGGCCGAATGCGCGAGCCATCAAATCGGGGTGCTTTGCGTCTCTCCTCGGCTTGCCGTTGTTGGGCCGTTGCTCGGCTGGCGGGCCGGCACAGACGTCTAGGAGATGGAGGCGATTGTCCAAAGATTTTAGTGTACTACTCTTCTAGGCTATAGCCACTAAAGTTTGCTGACAGAGTCCCGATATAGTAGTATAACCTGTTCCGGATTAGAATAGCCTTGGCTAAGGTAACGATTAGGGTTAAGAAGGAGGGTATTCTTAGTATAACGGCTTGCCTAATTAGTCGACTAGTAGTCGACTAGATAGATAGGGGTTAATAGGGGTTAACTCTAATATTAATGCGTATTGCTAGCACTATAGGCCTATATATAGTCGCTATTTTAACGACGTTACTATCGCTATATTATCTCTACCTCTTACTACTGCCGCTATATCTATTAGAAGTCCTTCTTTTACTATATATCTTACGTATAGCGTCGTCGTTATCTATCTAGTTAAACTAAGAAGCTGCTAATACCTCTAATCTAAGGTCTATAACTCGTAACGGCCGCTAAGGCGTTATAAGGTCGATAAAGGACGTATTCGCCGCTCTAGGCATATTAGCGCCTATTAAATCTACCTCTTTAACTAAGTCTATATCTATAGGCTATACCGACTGTATATCTAGTAACGACGCGCGGTCGCGTTTGTAAGGTAATAGACGGAAGGCTAGCGGCGGCTCGAAGTAAGAGTATATAAGCGACGATAATAGAGCCTAATTAATACGCTATTATCGCTATAGCGGCCGCGCTATAGCTAGCGCTCGGAAGGTTATTATTATTGTCGACCGAGTTAGAGTCGTCGGCTACGCTAAAAGGTATAAAGTCTACTACCGTAGCCGCTTACCTATAAAGGTAACCTTAGGGGCGCCGCTCTTATAGTAGTTAGCAATCGAGTAGTTAGTAAGGCTATATAGCGTATCCTTAACCTTGCGAAGGAAGCTACGTATATAGCTATCGCGTACTGCTAGATTAACGGTCTTATCGTCGCGAATACGATAGAAGTATTAAAATAGGCCTTTAGTAGCCTCGTTATAGTATAACCTTAAATTACGAAGGTATAGGTCCCCTATAGTCTATAGCCTCCGCGTGTCTTCGTAGCCTTCTAGCTATAGTTAATTGCTGTCTCGCTACTTCTAATATAGACTTATCTTCGTAGAATTGAAGCCGGTATATTAATTAACGTATACCTATTATTGCTAGAGTATAAAGGGCGTAACAAATAGGTAGAACCTAAGGATATAGTAATAAGGCAAGTAGGTTTAAAACTATAGAAGGCAATTACAATAGGCAGGTTGTCTATTATTATATATTACTATTCCGGGGTATATAGGCAGTCCTTTTGCCTTATATATATCTGCAATAGACAGTTGCTTTCTAACTAGGTCCTAAGCCGCTAAAGGTTGTAATCTCTCGAAGAAAGGCATCTGTTTAATCTTCTAGTAGTTAGTAGATTTTCCGACCCTATATAGTTAGAGGTCTGCCTTATATAATGTTCGAGCGTTAATTGTTATTAGCTCTACTATAGTACTATATATAGAAAGCTAGACTATCTCCTTCTTCTTATTATATTTAATAGCGTTGTAATAGCCTTCGAGAGGCGACGTTATCTAGACCTATATAAGAAGAGGGCTTCCTAGCCGTACCTAAGTTGCCTATAAATAGGACTTCTCGCGCTAGTTATTAATAAGGTATTGCACCTGTTTATCGGACCCCTTATCTCTTAATTCCTATACTATTTCGTCGATAGTATCAATAACTTCTACGTCGCTATAGGCGTAGTAAATCGCATAGGAGAATAGCCGCTAAACCTATAGATACTGCTTCTCGGGGAAGTGCCGTAGGAAGGTCTCTTTAGCGTATCGTTAATAGAGATACATTGTTATTGCCTTTTCTTTAAATGCTAGCCGGATAGCGCGTTGTTCTTAGGCCGAGTCGTTAGTTATAGCTACTATAGGTGTTATAGATCTAATTAGTTAGAGTCCTTATATAATCTTAGAGCGACGCTAAGACTAGTAGGCTAAGCTGTCGCTCTATCTTACTAGGAGCGATAGGAGCGGTCGAGAGCGACAGCGTCGCTTACGTCGCTTACGACTACAGACAAGATATCTCCTTTGTATTTAGGAACGCCGGAATGCCCTTATAGCTCGAGGCGTTCAACTTATATTACCTACTTACTAATTAGAATTACCTTTGTACTAATTATTCTATCTCTGCCTCCCGCTTGTGTTAGCCTCTCTAAAGAAGCCTCGGCTTATATGTAATAAGAAGTTACTTAACGATCTATCGCGAGTAACTATAACACTTTAAACGCCCTTAGGATAAGTGCCTTATTATAAGTCGGAAGGGGAACTCCTACCCCTAGCGAGATAGGCAGTACTCGACGTACTACCTCTAGTACTAGTAATGTACTAGGAACCTATACCGGAAACGATTCTCTTAAGATCGGAAAGCTAGACTTTTATTACGGCGACCGAGACAAGTTCGATACCTAGGTTAGCTAGATAGATATATATTTTATGTTTAACTAGGTTTAAGATAACTTAAAGCTAGTCTTCGCAACGACGTTTATACGAGGTAGGGCTTAGTATTAGGTTAAACTATTTCTTAGGACCTATCTAGATAGCAACGGGACCGACAATTCGAATAGAATCTTCGCAAGCTACGAAAATCTTAAGCGTGCGATAAAGAAGGTCTTTAGATCTTCTAACGAAGTTGCTACCGTAGTTAGGGTTATCTAACACTTAACTTAGAAGGGGTTATATGCCGATTACGCCGCTAAATTTTAGGAATACGCCTAACTTACGGATTAGGACGACGAAGCTTTTATAACAATATATCGGCGAGGTCTTAAGAATAATATTAAAGACGAGCTTATACGCGATAGTAGAAAAATAGATAATATAGGAACATTAGTTAAGGTTACGATCGATCTCGACGATAGGCTCTACGAACGAGCTTTAGAACGACGTTACGATTCTAAGACTTCTAGAAAAGCTAGTTATACTCCTAGATACGATAATAGACGAAATTATAGTACCTACGATAAACTAAAGGGGAACAACTACTACGGTACGCAACTAATAGAGCTAGACGCTATCTAGAAGGGTCGAGTAATTAAAGGAAGAAAAGGCAAGAGTTCGCCTAAGAAAGCAGAAAGATTAACTTACTATACGTATAGCAAGGAAGGCTATATAGTACGGAACTGCCGCGGCAAGAATATAGTGCGACGCGAACAGTTTAATATAATGCAACGAAAGGACTCGGGCAGAGAAGGCTACCGAATAGTAGTAGAGCTATACTCTATTAATAACGCGCCGAAGACCTACGCAGAGGTCGTAAAGAAAGAGCTACGACAAATCTGTATAATAGCACGACGATAAGAACCTATATATAGAACCCTTTACTAGAGATTCTATTACGACGACTAATGCTAAATTTATTATTCTACTAAAGTAGAAGCAGGATTCTTCCCTTAGATTAGGCGACTCGTACGAGAAGATACGAAATCCTAGTTAGAAGAAGAAACGATTAATAAATCTTGCTTAGATACCGACGATAAAGAAAACCGAGATCCGGAAGCTTTATTCCCTCCTAGGGAGGAGTTAGGAGCTATCCTAGAAATACCGGAGTCCCCTTAGCAAGAGGAGGAACAGTAAGAAGATTTAGAAGGAAGTCTAAATACCGAGGAAGAAACTACGAATAAAGAAAGTAAAGACGAATTCGGGATTAACGACGATACGATCCTTACGTTTATAATAGATATACCTATAGTAGCGCGAACAATCGCCTTGCATCTAGTACGCAAATACGAGGAAATGTTTCTAAAGGTTAATAGACAACGGAAGGTCGATCCTATCTAATTTAATTATTTCTAGATAAGCTTACGGGCAAAATTCTAAAATCACCCCCGGATACCTATAGACTATACGTACTATAACTTTATTACGGAGCGAGTACCGATAGGAAGTATAATTACGCCTTACGGATACGTCCTACCCGACGAAAGGACGATTATTACTTAAGATATACGTTAGACGGTCTAGCGATTAAATTAGCAATACTAAAAGGCTATAGTAGCGTAGGGACGGGATATATATAACGATACCCTCGAGGAAAAATTATATACCGAAGAAGCACGAACGGTAGGACTACGGATCCGTAACTAGTTAGAATAACGTTAGGCTACTAATTAGTCGGGAAACGGACTAACTCTCTAGATTAGAGCGTTCTAAGAGAGTTCCTTAATACCGAAAGCGCTTAAGTATTAATAGCAGTCTTCCGTATAAAAGTTATCGTTAACGGGCACCCGACGAGTATATTAATAGATTCCGGAGCGAGCGGGAACTTTGCCTCCGAATTATTCGTTAAAAGCCGAGGGATCGCAACCCGAAGTAGAAGAGAAGGAGCGTATAAACTTATAGCAGTAGATAGGTTACCGCTACCTAGTATAGAACGAGAAACGATACCGTTACTACTAGCTATCTAATAGTACTACGAGGAGATTGTCTTAGATGTTACTAATATAGCTAGTTATAACATTGTATTAGGTATACCTTAGTTGAGAAAGTATAACCTAGTCGTAGACTAGAGAAAAGGAGTACTTACATTTAAGGAATACGACTATATAATCGGTATTTTACCTATATAGCGGTAGCGTTCGTAGGCAGATAAGATTAACAAACGTAGGGCGACTCGTAAGACGTTTGCGTCGACAGGAATTATAGAGAACCGTATTCAACCCGGATCGATACTACCGTTAGGTTAGGAGGGTCGTAATAATAATTACGGGAAGGATAGAAGTTATACGCTATCGAAGAATAAAACTAGAATCTCGGACCTAGACATTCCTAAAGAGTATAGTAAGTAGAAACGACTCTTTAAAGAGGAGAGAGGCAAGGCAGCCTTACCTAAACACTAACTATAGGATTATAAGATACACTTATAGCCTAGGAAAGAGCCTCTATAGGGACCCTTATACGCAATGTTTAAGAAAGAGCTTAAAACCCTAGACAAGTAGCTAAAAGAGAAATTAGAAAAAGGCTAGATACGGAAGTCGATATCCTCGGCAGCCTTACTAGTAATGTTCGTTCCGAAAGCCGGATTAGACGAAGGACGGCTAGTAGTCGATTTTAGACGACTTAACGATATTATAATTAAGAATCGGTACCTACTACCGAACATCGAAGAAATGTAAGACCGATTAACTAGATTAGACTAGTATACGAAGATTAACCTACGCGATGCGTTTTACGCAATACGTATAGTAGCTAGATACGAATAGATAATAGCATTCCGAACAAGATATAGGCTTTACGAATTCTTAGTTATGCCTATAGGACTTACAAATGCCCTAGCGTTATATTAAGACCTTGTAAACGAAGTCCTCCGAGACCTTCTAGATGTATACGTTATCGCATATATAGACGATATCTTAGTCTATACTAAGGGAGCTCTCGCGGACTATATACGAATAGTGCAGGACGTCTTTAAACGATTTACTTAAGTAGGATTTAAGACTATACCTAAGAAATACGAATTCTATAAGAAGGAAGTTAAGTTCCTAGGATTTATTATTAGCACTATAGGAATCCGGATCGATCTAGAAAAAACCAAGTTAATACAGGAATAGCTAACGCCTATATACGTTAAAGACGTACAATCATTCCTAGGATTAGCTAACTATAATAGAAAATTCATCGAGGGCTACTCTAAGATAGCGGCACCCCTTACGGAGCTTATAAAGAAAGACAAGCAATAGAACTAGAGCACGAAGGAAGACGAAGCGTTTAGGTAGCTAAAGAAGCAATGCGTTTCTACGCTAACGCTACGATTATTCGATAGGAGTAAGGCGGTCTAGATAGAAACAGACGCGTCGGATAGGGCTATAGGAGCATACCTTATATAGGAGCATAACGGGAAACGATACCCGGTAGCCTATTACTCGAGAAAGATATTACCCGCGGAATAGAACTACGATATCTATAATAAGGAGCTACTTGTAATAGTTGCATTACTATAATACTAGCGAGTATACGCGGAAGGAGTACTAAGTCTTACGATTCTTTCTAATTATAAGAATCTAACTTACTTTACTACGACTAAAGTACTAACCCGAAGACAGGCCCGCTAGTCGGAGCTACTAGGATAGTATAAGTTCGAAATCCGCTATACCCTAGGACGCGAGAACGGACGAGCCGACGTACTAAGCCGCCGTAGCGACTATATAGAGGGTTACGAACTAGTATAGCAGCAGATATTAAAAGCAAACTAAGACGGAAGCCTAAGTGCTAATACAAAAGAATTCAACTATATTATACGAGTTCTTTAGGATATAGAAGAACAGTTTCTAATCGAACATAGGAAATACTAAGTACCTAAGGAACGAGTTATAGAGTATATACGACAACACTACGACGGACTAGAAAATAGATACCCTAGAGTTTTAAAAACAATAGAACTAGTTAAGCGAAGCTTCGGATTCCTATATATACGATAACGAGTTCTAGAATATATTAAGAAATGTCTATAATGTTAGCGTAACAAGGCTAATAGATACGCTAGATATAGATATATCTAATTTAGGACGCTACTAGATAAACTATAGGACGAAGTTATAATAGACTTTATTACGAAACTACCGAAGTCTAAGGATCCGGTTATAGGACATAGCTACGATATAATACTTATTATAGTCGATAAGCTTACGAAATATATATACTTCATTCCTACTAACGAAGCAAGTACGGTAGAGCAACTCGGATACCTCGTACTAGATAGACTTATACGATACTACGGATTTCTAAGGACCTATATTACGGATAGAGACAAGCTCTTTATATTAAACTACTAGAAGACGCTTACAGCGACACTTGGAATTAAGTATAAGCTATTAACGGTATACTATCTATAGACAGACGGCTAAACGGAAGTTAAGAATTAGGCCTTAGAGGTATACTTACAGCACTACGTTAATTACGCACAAAACAATTAGGCATCGCTATTACCTATAGTACAACTTGCACTAAACAACTAACAATCTAAGACTACGAAAGAGACACTATTCTTCGCTAATTTTAGGAAACATCCGCAGCTGTTCGGGGAACAGTATTTATAGTATCTATACGCGGATAAAGCGATAGTCGCTTTAGAAGACTTAAAGTAGGTATATAAAGAATTGCAAAGGGCAATTGCCGAGTCTTAAGAAAAGATTACGGGACTATATAATGCTAAACGAAAAATGGCACCTTAGCTAAAAAAGGGGGATAAGGTCTACCTCCTAACAAAGAATCTGAAAACCCGGAGATCGACTAAGAAACTAGACTACGTTAAAGTCGGGCTATTTTTAATTAATAAGCCTAAAGGACTAGTTAATTACCGACTTAAACTACCGGACGACGCGAAAATCTACTTAGTATTCTATATCTCTATACTAGAACCTACAGACGCCGAAACACCGTATTAAGAAACATTTCACTTCTAACCTAAGGAAGAAAATAAGTTTAAAGTCGAGGAAATCCTAGATTAGCAAGGTTAGAAATACCTTATTAAATAGAAAGGATACCTATATTTAGAAAACACTTAGGAACTAAAAGAAAACCTACAGAACTGTTAGTAGATAATTAAAAAATATTAAAACTAGACAAAAAAGAAATAACTAGTATAGGAATTAAACCTACGACCTCTTAGACCCTATCGATTATAGCGCCTTAGAGTTCTTAACGACTTAGGGCAGTATAGCTCGAGGAGCGGGGACTCTAATAGCATACCTAGCAACTATGTCTTTTATAGCTAAGAATTATACTACTAGACTAACTAGCTAGAAGATAAAATAGATAGGAAACATTAAAAATATATACCTTTAGGATACTAGACTCTCGGCACTTCTACTAGGGATTTTAGAGACAGGCTAGGATGTCCTATCTAGACGACTCTAGTTATAAGGCGACATCTATAATCGGCTATCTAAGGGAAACGGCTCGTTAGCAGGCAACGAGAATATTATCGGCTCTATAGGCGAAGAGCCTAGCTCTCTTTCGAGCTCCTCCGCCTATTAAATAGAGGCTTCCTCTACCTTAAGAGCTTGTATCTCCCGATCCTCCTTTATACGTAGCGACTTACGTAAGCGACGGACCTTTGCGCGATACTCGAAAAGCTTCCGCGTAAGGAGGTCCTCCTCCTCTTCGGCCGCTTCGAGATCTTTAGCTATCTTTAGGCGCGCCTTCCGGATTTTTTTATACTCTATACGAGTAACTTGTATATTATAGGACTAGCCGTATAGGGCGCACTCGGAGTAGCGACTAGAACGAAGATCGACTTTATAGGGTTTACCGGCCTATTCGTAATAAAAGTAGCGGATTAGTATTTCGAGGCAGTCGGCGAGGATATTATTTACGATATTTTCCTTACGCTAGCGAGAAGACAAATCCTTAGATAACTTTAGTATAACAAAGAAGTTAGAATTAGAAAGTCCCGGAATAAGGGACTATTCCGCTTAAGGAGGGGGATAGTATTACGGATCTAATTAGTTAGAGTCCTTATATAATCTTAGAGCGACGCTAAGACTAGTAGGCTAAGCTGTCGCTCTATCTTACTAGGAGCGATAGGAGCGGTCGAGAGCGATAGCGTCGCTTACGTCGCTTACGACTATAGACAAGATATCTCCTTTGTATTTAGGAACGCCGGAATGCCCTTATAGCTCGAGGCGTTTAACTTATATTACCTACTTACTAATTGGAATTACCTTTATACTAATTATTCTATCTCTACCTCCTACTTATATTAGCCTCTCTAAAGAAGCCTCGGCTTGTACGTAATAAGAAGTTACTTAACGATCTGTCGCGAGTAACCGTAACAATAGGCTTCTAGCTAGGTGCCTATTTCTTTAATACTCGAAGCCTAGATTCGATTAGCTTTGCTCGCTAGCTTTATAGCAATATATGCCCCCCTAGTATCTAGGAGCCGAAGGCATTACGGATATAGACTATAAATAGGTAGAAGTTATTATCGGACGTTTTGTAGGTCGTATCGAAGAGAAATAACTATATATAAACGGTTAGTTGTTGCTATCGAAATTTGTATATTAGGAAGAAAGTCGGAAAGCTAATGCCTAAGGCACTAATAGCTAGGAAATAGGGACCGGAAATAGGAACCTACATCTCTAGTAATACTACTATTTAGCAACTTACGCTACTAGTCGGCCTGCTATATAACACCCTTATACTAGAATGCCTCTATACGGACAGAGAGAGCCTTATAGGAAAGTCCTACGCCTATTATATCGTCTATAAGAGGGCCGAGATAATAATTAAGGTTGTCTAGCTATAATCGAATATTACCCTTCTTAGTTAGGGACACCCTCTTTACATTCTTCTTTATAGACTACTTTATAATACCTTTCTTTGCATAGTGCGCTCTAATAATAGCAAGACGACCTGCATTAGTACCCTCCTTTAGTAGGTAGAATATATAAGCCGTTTTATAGTTATACTAATCTATTAGGTACTCGATAACAACCCGGAGGCTATTACTAGAAGCCCTTATATCCTATGCCTAGTTAGCTTCGTAATACGACTTAATCTACTATATTAACCTTACTATATAGTCTATCGTATAACTATAAATATTGTTATTACTATACGCCGAATCGCGGCCTCCTCGAGCGATCTTATAGCTACGAGGCTCCTTATCCGCCTTCCGATCGAATACCGCGATTATAGCTATCGACGCGTCGTATAGGTCCTTATAAAACTCTAGTACTCTACCTTATAGATACTAATACCTAGCTCTCGACTACGATTAAAGTTACGCCGATAACGATAGTAGTATATCGTCCGCTACGACAACCTATTCTTATAACGAGCGCCCTCGTATTTCTCCTAGAAGTTAGTTATAAAGGGCTATATCTATTTAAACTATTCCTTCGGTATAAAGGAGCCTTAGGTTAACGGACTAAATAGCGAATAGCGTAGTTAATAGGTTATAGAAATAGGGATAAGATAAGCTATATTAAAGAGCTAGATTAAATAAGTTAATAAGTATTATAGTAATAATAGATAGCTATAGCGACTTTAGTAATACCTCCTATATAGAAAATGGGCCCTATACTATTAGGTTTCGACGATATAAAGTCAGAGACCCTAGCATCCGCGGAATGCCTGTTTTGGCTAGCAATATCAACACTTCTCAGATCCGGTTATCTACGAAGGAATGCCTCGGAAATTATATATGGGGCTGATCGGCCGGGCACTAAAATCTTCTAACAACTGCTTATAATTCGTCTGGGTCGAGCAGCCTGGCACTGGCACTGGCACTGGCACTGGCACTGGCACTGGCACACAGCATCATCTGGCCAGAAATGTCCGGCAGACGGCGGGCAGATGTCGGTAGATGGGTAGGTAGACACAGAGTGGCTCGCGCGTGTGAGAATGTACATAGGCAGCGGCGCAAGTGCGGAAGAGATGCAAGTCGCGAGTCGGAAATGTGTGAGCAGTGACGTCCACAGACCGCGCTTGCGCCGTTTCGGGAAAGTGCGCTGGAGTGGGGGGAAGGCAGAGGCGATTGGCCGGCGATACGCTCATCATCATCGTGCTGCAACTCGCGGTGACATCAGACGGGAATAGAATATCGATGCGGCGCGTCTTTCGATGCAGCTCGCAGCCTGGTCGTGTCGTCTTATCTCATCCGCCGTGACCATGTCGCGGGCGGCGGCAATGCACTCCCAGACCTGATCTGCATGCAGCTAAGCGACGTCGACACGGCCACGGCCACGGCCATCGATGACATGTCTTTCTGCGCCAGCGCAATAATCCATCCAGACACCACCACTGACCATGCACGCCCACGCCCACGCCCACGCCCACGACCACATCTCCCTCCCTCCTCTACTTTCGCCTCCGAACACCCTACTTTGCCCCTCCAATCCCAATCGCTGCCACAGCACGCGACACCAACTGCTCTTGCCAGCCCTGCGCTGTTGAGCCGCTTCATCTTTGACACATCATTTTCCCTTTGACCTCATCTGCACCTCGCCCTCCTTCCACCCCCCCCCCTTGCACCCTGGTGCTCTTCAAAATTGCTCGTGCCCATCCAGAGCGCTGGCGTTCTCTCTTCCCAGCACGCTAATGATTTCTTCCAATGTCCTCGTCGCGCGACAACACATCAAGCAATGAGACCGGAGCAGGAAGGTGAGTGGCAATGCCCCCGCTCGAAATCACCACTGGTCATCGTATCGAACGTGGAAGACACAGCGAAGCCTCACGTCGCATTGTCCGTGCTCAGGCAGCACGTGCCAGTGCCGCGCAAAGTCGAGAGACGAGAGCGCGCAACAGAGAAGACAGGCATGCTAGAGAGGGTCGAGATGCTCAGCAATCCCCAGCAGACCTTGCCTCCACGCCACGGAATCGGCCAAGCCTCGTCACGAGGAATAGCAGCCATGAACAGACGCAGCAACAGCAACAGCAACAGCAACAGCCATTCCAATCCCAATCTCGAAGTCAAAGTCGAAGCCAGGATCCCAGCACCCAGCAACACAATCAAGACGATGAGGGTAAGCTCAAGCCACTCGTGAATTGGATCACCAATATTCTTCATCTTTCCGCGGCAACTTTCGTCGCCGGCGCTGCTGCTCTTGTTACAGCGGGCAGGCCGGCTTTGGGCAATGCCAACGACGCCACCGGTACTGAAGGTGGATACATTGCTGATAGTGGCCTTGCCATGGATAATGTGGAAGTCGCGGGTGGCTTGCTGAGTCGTCGGCTCCCAATCGCCCTGCCCAGGGGTTTTGCAAACTTGCAAAAACGGATCTCACTATCCGATGGCTTTCTCGTTCTTCTCAGCCGGACCGCATGTTTCGACTACGGCTCTCCTGGAGTCGAGAATCGATTGAACTCGCTGCTTTTCGATATCGTAATGACGACAGCCACTATCACGGTGGCACAGCCAGGACAGATGGCAAACCACCCCATTCAGAGTCACTTGCGGCTAGCATGCGCATGTTTGACCATATTTCAAGGTCAGCGCGCCGACGGTGCCACATTTGCTGGCAACTCAAAGTACAATCTTGGATTCGATGCTGCTTGGTCGGAAGCCATGAACCTGGATCAAAATGCTCTGAAGGAGCCCAAGTCGGCCGAAGCAGCGCTCTGGGCTGTCTTCATCATCTGCGTGACATGCGAGTCCACCATCACTTTCTTCCACCGCGTGCTCTACGATTTGATGTCATCCCTCCAGCTTCAATATTGGGAACAAGTACGGAATGTCTTACTGGATTTCATCTATCCTGGCAGTTTCCTGGACGAGCCTTGCAGAGCCTTCTACAATAAACTGCAAGCGGGTCAAGTGCCAGTCAGCTGAAGCACTTGGGCTTGTTGAATGCGTCTATTAGACGCCTGTGGGGAAGTCAGTATGCAGCTCGAAGTTTGAGCAGCCGGTCCGTGGTGAATAGCCATGCACCAGCCTCGGAATAGCGCACTCGCCCCGGCCGATGACTCGTCTGAGCACGTCACTGTGCCATGACATATTCCTGGTATCGGATTGTGGACATCGAGGAATCGTTCCAGCTCTTGATTCTCAGGCCCGAGCGGCGATCATCCTCGGTGTGAGGCTTCTGGAGAAACACCACGAAGAATGCCACTGATGTCGTTGGCTCAAAAAAATGCTCGCAAGAATTTCCGCCACCCGGGAGATATTGAGTGGAAGGATGAGGGCGAAGGAATGCTTCAAACACATGCCGAATATCTCAGAAAGAGAGGGACAAGAACAGGAACAGAATCCAAGATCTTTTGAAATCTAGAAGGATCACGCACACAATTATTATGCTGCATGGATTAGCTGCATACCAAATGCATGTAGGTAGGCGACAGCAACAAGACTACTGTAACAGTCACAGAAAACGCGCTAGTAGCTTATGGCGGTGTCCCAAAGATTTTCCTGAACGTTTTCATGTCACCTCAGGCCGCTAAGCGCTCTCCTCTTCACAGCTTACCTTAGCGAGGCGGCTCTTTGATGTGAGATGGAGTGGCCTGATCCGCCCCAGGGATCTGCACGACGATGTTTTTTTTTGTTTTGAGGAAACTCTATCGCGTTTACCGCTTTAGCCTTTTCGTATATATTAACGATACGGGGTCGACTAAAATACGGAATGCTTCTTGCTTCTTCGTGGTCTAAGACTCTAAGGTCTTTCCATCCATCTGCATTATTCAGAGTACATTTCAGGACACGCTATTCTACCTTGTGCACTGCTGCATTTGATACAGATTCGAAAAAAAAAATCTCGCGGTATGAATTCCATCGCTCTCAACGACAGTTATTTGAATTACGAAATGGAGTATGCTACGCTACTACGAGACAGAGATGTAGAGGACATTTAGGAGTCGACTTCGAATGCCTTTGTCTAGTTCTAGTATATGTATAAGTTTGAATTGATGTTAACTTACTCGCGTACAAGACAGACTAAAAAAAAATAAGGCAGATTGGCATACTGAGAAGACGTGTCGCATGGAACGGAACATGGCGCTTTGTTTGAATGCCTCCCTTACGCACGTCAAAATCATGCATGGCTTTGTTCATCAGACAGTAGTGTCTTGATGTGGTCGCCGCAAATGGTATGGTATGGCAAAACGAACAAAGAAGAACGGCGGCTAACCTTTTCTTCGCAACTATCGATCCATCCATGAGCTTCTACTGTATCACTTTGGCAACAACAGTCCGCCCGCCCAAAATGCCAAATACACGAAGTAGTTCCCGTACAGTCAAGCCCAGTCATGCTGGGATTCTTCAAAAGCGAGCACGAGCACCAAGACAGACGTCTACGTCGAAGAGAAATCTGAAGAAGAAGAAGAAGACAGCAGCAGCAGCAACAGCTCCCGCGACTTCGAATCATCCCAAGGCAGAATTACCCGTCTCTCCCGATGAAAAGTCTCACGTCCAGCCAGAAGACGCAGTCAAAGGCAGCGAAAAAGTCACAAGAATCTACAACGAACTCTGGGAATCCACGCCCGTCAGTCTCGCGTTCATCGACCACGGGCTTTTGGAAACCGACGCCGACACGGAAATCATCGCGCTCAACCTCATCGATCATATGATCAAAGAAGAAAACTGGAATCCTGCGTTGTCCATGAATAAACTCAGCGCGGCGTGTTTTCTCTTCGCGAGTCGGGTGACGGGGAAGGGGAATGAGGCGGGAGACATCGCGCGGTCGTTTGAGCACGATGCGGAGAGGTATTCTTCGGCGCTGCTCGCTACGGTCAATGTTTCGCGTATGGCGACGGATTTTACGGTTAGGAGGAGGATTGCGATGGCTTTGAAGATGTGTGCGCGGGATGTTGAGGTTGGGTATGGGATTTTGTGGGAGCAGAGGAGTGAGTTGAGAGGTTTGGTTGGGCTTTATGCGGAGGGTGTGGAGTTTTTGCCGGGGCCGGAAGGGGTTGGTGTTGATGGGGCTGGTGAGGCTGTTGCTGTTGCTGCTGTGGAGGAGGCTGCGGAGGTGAAGAAGGATGAGGAGGAGGCGGAAGAAGAAGAAGAAGCGAAGGCGGAGGAGTTGCTGAGAGTTGCTGATGCACCGCTCGTTAGTCCGGCTTTTCTTGAGCTTGATGAGTTTGAGTGTGCGGTAGCGGAGCATGAGTAGTCATGCGGCGTCAGCAGAGCGACATGTTCAGCTGGGAATAATCTGGGATGTCAGCAAGCAGTACGCCACAGCACAGCACATTCCTGGGCCGGGAATGGAAATGGACTTGGTCCGGTGGTGGCGGTGGCATTGGCTTTGGCATTGGCATTGGAGGCAGCAGGTTTCGATGACACGGCCGCAAGCAGCTTGGAATATAGCAGCCTCATTGATCGCTTGATAGCTCCGGGAACAGAGGCAATGTCAATAATCAATAATATCAATAATATGACAACTCAACAAAAGTTGGGGCCCCTTTAGGCTTAGTGCGGCTCAAAACGACCGAAAAGTCGACTCTAATTAGTCGGCGGCGAGGAACTTTAAAATTTCTCGATTCTCGTACGGTCCGGAGGGCGTAGGAGTCGTAGAATCGACTATAACGCTCCGGCGCCGCGATAGTAGTGTTTCCGAGGCCGTCTCCGTCGTTTACGCCTAATCCGGCGGCGTTTTTTGCTCGAGGCGGTATCGTTCGCGCCTAATCCGGCGGTATTTACTCGGAGCGGTAGGCTCGAAAGGCTTATCCTACGCGTTCCGGATAGTACTACTCGCTATAGGCGTTTTATAGGGTACTTATAGTAGGCGTTAGATAAGGTACTCGCTATAAATAGTTCGAATCCTATTTAACTATAGGCGTTTTAGATAGTATTTACTATAAGCGTTTCGGATAGGACTACTCGCTATAGCTATCTCGGATAGTTACCGCTATAAGCGTTTCGAATATTACTACTCGCTATAAGCGTTTTTAGTAGTATTTACTATAAGCGTTTCGGATTAGACTTGCTATAAGTATTCTAAATAGGACTTACTATAGGTATTTTAGATAGTACTACTTGCTATAAGCGTTCTTAATAGTACTTGCTATTTGCGTTCTGAATTAGACTTACTATACGCGTTCCGGATAAGACTTAGTATAAGCGTTTCGGATTAGAATTGCTATATAGTGCGTTCTAAATGAAACTTAGTATAGGCGTTATAGACAGTAGTACTAACTGTTAGCGCTCCGGATTAGAGTTATTAGACTTACTATACGCGTTCTAAATAGTACTTAGTATTATAAGCGTTCTAAATTAGACCTATTATAGGCGTTATAGATAATAGTTAGCTTATCCTACGCGTTCCGGATAGTACTACTCGCTATAGATATTCTATAGAGTACTCGCTATAGGCGTTATATAGGGTACTCGCTATAGATAGTTCGAATACTATTTAACTATAGGCGTTTTAGATAGTATTTGCTATAAGCGTTCCGGATAGTACTACTCGCTATAGGCCTTCCGGATAGTGCTTCGTATAAGTATTTAGTTTCGGATTAGACTTAGACTTACTTTATACATTCCGGACAAGACTTTCTGTAGGCGTTTCGGATTAGATTATTAGACTTGCTATACGCGTTCCGGTTTATATAGGACGAACTATACTAAGCGTTTAAAATAAGGCTTGTCCTACGCGTTCCGGATAGTACTACTCGCTATAGATATCTTAGATAGTTACCGCTATAGGCGTTTCGAATATTACTACTCGCTATAGGCGTTTTTAGTAGTATTTACTATAAGCGTTTTAGATATAACTTGCTATAAGTATTCTAAATAGTACTTACTATAGGTATTTTAGAAAGTACTACTTACTATAAGCGTTCGTAATAGTACTTACTATTACCGTTCTAAATTAGACCTACTATACGCGTTCCGGATAGTACTTACTCTACGCGTTTCGGATAAGACTTAGTATAGGCGTTTCGGATTAGAATTGCTATATAGCGCGTTCTAAATAGAACTTGGTATAAGCGTTATAGATAGTAGTACTAACTATTAGCGCTCCGGATTAGACTTGCTATACGCGTTCCGAATAGTACTTACTAAGTTACTATTATAAACGTTCTAAATTAGACTTTCTATAGGCGTTATAGATAGTAGTTAGCTTGTCCTACGCGTTCCGGATAGTACTACTCGCTATAGGTATTCTATAGAGTACTCGCTATAGGCGTTTTATAGGGTACTTACGGCCCCTTTAGGCTTACTACGGCTTAAAATAAGCTAAAAGCCGACTCTACTTAGCTATAGCCGAGGAACTTTAAAATTTCTTAGTTTACGAGCGGTTCGGAGATTATAGGAGTCGTAGTATATAGTTCGTAAGCGGTTCGGAGATTGTAGGAGTCGTAGTATATATCGTAAGGCTACGATAGTATTATTTCCGATGCTATATCGGTCGTTTATACCTAATCCGGCGGTATTTGCTCGAGGCGGTATACTCGAAAGGCTTAGCCTACGCGTTTCGCATAGTACTACTCGCTATAGATATTCTATAGAGTACTCGCTATAGGCGCTTTATAAGGTACTCGCAGTAGGCGTTATATAAGGTACTCGCTATAAGTAGTTCGAATACTATTTAGTAACTATAGGCGTTTTAGATAGTATCTACTATAAGCGTTCCGGAAAGTACTACTCGCTAAAGATATCTCGGATAATTATCGCTATAAGCGTTTCGAATATTACTACTCGCTATAAGCGTTTTTAGCAGTATTTGCTATAGGCGTTTCGGGCGTTTTGGATTAGACTTACTATAGGTATTCTAAATAGCACTTGCTATAGGTATTTTAGATAGTACTACTTGCTTTAAGCGTTCTTAGTAGTACTTACTATTAGCGTTCCGAATTAGACTTGCTATATACGTTCCGGATAGTACTTACTCTACGCGTTCCGGATAAGACTTAGTATAAGCGTTTCGGATTAGAATTGCTATATAGCGCGTTCTAAATAGAACTTAGTATAGGCGTTTTAGATAGTAGTGCTAACTGTTAGCGCTCTGGATTAGACTTACTATACGCGTTCCGAATAGTACTTACTATTATAAGTGCTCTAAGTTAGCCTTACTGTAGGCGTTGTTAGTAATAGTTAGCTTGTTCTACGCGTTCCGGATAGTACTGCTCGCTATAGATGTTCTATAGAGTACTCGCTATAGGCGTTCTATAGGGTACTTAGAGTAGGCGTTATATAGGGTACTCGCTATAGATAGTTCGAATGCTGTTTAACTATAGGCGTTTTAGATAGTACTTACTATAAGCGTTCCGGATAGTGCTGCTCGCTATAGTCTTAGCCTATAGGCCTTCCGGATAGTGCTTAATATAAGTATTTAGTTTCGGATTAGACTTAGACTTAATTTATACATTCCGGATAAGACTTTCTATAAGCGTTTTAGATTAGACTTAGTATACGCGTTCCGGTTTATATAGGACTAACTATACTAAGCGTTTAAAATAAGGCTTGTCCTACCGACTCCTACACGTTCCGTATAGTACTACTCGCTATAGGTGTTCTATAGAGTGCTCGCTATAGGCGTTTTATAAGGTACTCGTAGTAGGCGTTATATAGGGTGTCCGCTAAAAGTAGTTCTAATGCTGTTTACTATAGCCTATAGGCGTTTTAGATAGTATTTGCTATAGGCGTTCCGGATAGTGCTACTCGCTATAGATATCTCGGATAGTTACCGCTATAAGCGTTTCGAATAATACTACTCGCTATAAGCGTTTTTAGTAGCATTTACTATAGGCGTTTTAGATATAACTTGCTATAAGTATTCTAAATAGAACTTACTATAGGTATTTTAGAAAGTACTACTTGCTATAGGCGTTCTTAGTAGTACTTACTATTAGCGTTCTATATTAGACTTACTATACGCGTTTCGGATAGTACTTACTATACGCGTTCCGGATAAGACTTAGTATAGGCGATCCGTATTAGAGTTACTATATAGCGCGTTCTAAATAAAACTTAGTATAGGCGTTATAGATAGTAGTACTAACTGTTAGCGCTCCGGATTAGACTTACTATACGCGTTCCGAATAGTACTTAGTATTATAAGCGTTCCAAATTAGAATTCCTATAGTTGTTTTCGATTAAAGTTGCTATAAGCGTTTTGAATTAGACTTACTATACGCCTTGTAGGCAGTACTTGCTATAAGTGTTCCGACTCGGAAAGAACTACTTACTATAGATATTTCGAATAGTACTCGCTATAGGTATTCCGGATAGCAATTACTATAGGCGCATTCCGGCTCGCTATAGGCGTTTAATAGGGTACTCGTAGGAGGCGTTATATAAGGTACTTGCTATAAATAGTGCGAATACTATTTAAATATAGGCGTTTTAGATAGTATTTACTATAAGCGTTCCGGATAGTACTACTCGCTATAAGCCTTCCGGATAGTACTTAATAAAAGCATTTAGTTTCGGATTAGACTTGGACTTACTTTATATATTCCGGATAAGAGTTTCTATAAGCGTTTTAGATTAGAATTACTATATAGCGCGTTCTAAATAAAACTTAGTATAGGCGTTGTAGACAGCAGTACGCTATAGATATTCTATAGAGTACTCGCTATAGGCGTTTTATAGGGTAATCGCTATAAACAGTTCGAATACTATTTACTATAGGCACTTTAGATAGTATTTACTATAAGCGTTCCGGATAGTACTACTCGCTATAAGCCTTCCGGAATCCGGATAGTACTTAATATAAGTATTTAGTTCCGGATTACACTTAGACTTACTTTATATATTTAAGATAAGACTTTCTATAAGCGTTTTAGATTAGACTTACTATAAGCGTTCTGGATAGTACTATTTGCTATAGATATCTCGGATAGTTACCGCTATAAGCGTTTTAAATATTGCTACTCGCTATAAGCATTTTTAGTAGTATCTACTATAAGCGTTTCGGATACAACTTGCTATAAGTATTCTAAATAGTACTTACTATAGGTATTTTAGATAGTACTACTTGCTATAAGCCTAAGCGTTCTTAATAGTACTTACTATTAGCGTTCTAAATTAGACTTACTATACGCGTTCCGGATAGTACTTACTATACGCGTTTTAGATAGGACTTAGTATAAGCATTTCGGATTAGAATTGCTATATAGCGCGTTCTAAAGCGTTCCGGATAGTACTACTCGCTATAGATATCTCGGATAGTAACCGCTATAAGCGTTTCGAATACTACTACTCGCTATAACCGTTTTTAGTAGTATTTACTATAAGCGTTTCGGATATAACTTGCTATAAGTACTCTAAATAGTACTTACTATAGGTATTTTAGATAGTAGTACGCTATAGATATTCTATAGAGTACTCGCTATAGGCGTTTTATAGGGTACTCGTAGTAGGCGCTATACAGGGTACTCGCTATAAATAGTTCGTAGTAGTTAATATAAGTATTTAGTTTTAGATTAGACTTAGACTTACTTTATATATTCCGGATAAGATTTTCTATAAGCGTTTTGGATTAGACTTAGTATACGCGTTCCGGTTTATATAGGACTAACTATACTAAGCGTTTAAAATAAGGCTTATCCTACGCGTTCCGGATAGTACTACTCGCTATAGATATTCTATAGAGTGCTTACTATAGGCGTTTTATAAGGTACTCGTAGTAGGCGTTATATAAGGTACTTACTATAAACAGTTCGAAACGTTCCGGTCTATATAGAACTAACTATACTAAGCGTTTAAAATAAGGCTTATCCTACGCGTTCCGGATAGTACTACTCGCTATAGATATTCTATAGAGTACTCGCTATAGGCATTTTATAGGGTACTCGTAGTAGGCGTTATATAGGGTACTCGCTATAAACGTTTTTAGTAGTATTTACTATAACCGTTTCGGATATAACTTGCTATAAGTATTCTAAATAGTACTTACTATAGGTATTTTAGATAGTACTACTTACTATAAGCGTTCTTAATAGTACTTACTATTAGCGTTCCGAATTAGACTTTCTATACGCGTTCCGGATAGTACTTACTATACGCGTTCCGGATAGTACTTACTATACGCGTTCCGGATAGGACTTAGTATATACGTTTCGGATTAGAATTACTATATAGCGTGTTCTAAATAAAACTTAGTATAAGCGTTATAGATAGTAGTACTAACTATTAGCGCTCCCGATTAGAGTTACTATACGCGTTCTAAATAGTACTTAGTATTATAAGTATTCTAAATTAGAATTCCTATAAGTATTTTAGATTAAAATTACTTTAGGCGTTTTAGATTAGACTTACTATACGCCTTATAGATAGTACTTACTATAAGCGTTCCTACTTAGAAAGAACTATGTACTATAGATATTTCGAATAGTACTCGCTATAGGTATTCCGGATAGTAATTACTATAGGCGTATTCCGGAAGTAGTTACTTTAGATATTTTAGACTATCTTACTATAAGCGTTTCTAATAGTAATCTAGCTTACCCTACCCCGCTCGTCGCCTTAGCCTTTACTTATAGCTCTTCGGCCTTTACTTGTGGCTCTTCGAGCCACATAAACACTAGTAGTAGAAGAAAAGCGGCGAGTGTGGGCAGATGCTTCTAATTCGGTAGGCATGATTAATTTAAGTTTGCATGCTCAGCCACTCAGCTGTCAGGCTAGCTCGGCAGGGTCTGGTGAGAAAGTGGAAGTGAAACGGCTCCACCACTCGAAGCAACGCAACAGCAGGCACGATCCAACCGCTGGGCGTGTTTGGGCTTATGTTTTAAGGGACTGCGATACCTCGCTCACTACTACTCCCACCCCTCGCACTACACCACTCACACTGCACGCAGAACTTAGCTTGTTGGACATACATTTGCAAGCAGACATCGCCTGCTGGGATTCGATATAGTTCTAAGGGGTCTCAGCCAGGAACGCGGAGAAGCCTACCGCACCGCATTCGGGAGCTGAACAGCATTATTGCAGCAGTCAGGCGCCAGCATAATGGCGGTAAGTCACGCAACGATCACATCACGCCCGCCCACCCCACAGCAATCGCCATGCGCATACTTTGGCATTCCAGTCGTCCAGAAACGGTCTCCAGAGACATCGCATAGCACACGCCGCTGACAATGGCCGCTCCACAGTACAACAATAATAACTACGGCGCTGGCTACGGCCAGTCCAACCCATACGACAACTACGGCCAAGCGCCTCCCGCATACGGTAGCAACGTCGAAATGCAGCCTCTCGCCCACCACGGTGCTCCTTACTCGTCCGCGACCCCAGAGCCCCGCGATCCTAATCAGATCTTGAACGACTGCCGTGCTGTTGGCAGAGCCATTGACGATCTGGAGAGCCGCCTTCAAGAGCTGCAACGTCTTCAACGCAATTTTGTTTCAGGGACCGGCGCCTCTAACAAAGATGTCGATGCCCTCAGCGCCGACATCATGTCTGGCTACCGCGGTCTGGCAGATCGGGTGAAGCGCATCAAGGGACAGCCAGATGCTTCAGCACCACGGAACAAGGCACAGGTGGAGGCATTGGACCGAAGAATACGCAAGGCCATCAATCAATACCAGCAGATCGAGTCGCAATTCCGCAAAGAGGTTCAGGAGCAGCAACGGAGACAATACCTGATCGTTCGCCCAGATGCTTCGGAATCTGAGATCAGAGAGGCTACAGAGGGTGGCGGTGACACTCAGATCTTTCAACAAGCTCTGCTCAACGCAGACCGCCGTGGACAAGCACAGAGCACGCTGAGAAATGTGCAACAACGTCACGACGCTATCCAACAAATCGAGCGAACGATGATCGAATTGCAACAGCTTTTCCAGGACTTGGATGCTATCGTCGTCCAGCAAGAAGCCGCTGTTATGAATATCGAACAAAAAGCCGAAGAAACTCACACTCACCTCGAAGCCGGCAACGTGCACGTCGACAAAGCGGTCAGCAGTGCCCGCGCCGCAAGGAAGAAGAAGTGGATCTGCTGCGGCATCTGTCTTGCGATTATCGTCGTTATCATCATCATCATTCTGATTTATGGTGCTACTGCGGGGGGTTGGTTTAAGAAGGACAATAACAATAACAATCACAACTAGGAGTCCAGCGCATCGTTCCAACTCCGACGCAAAACAACGACACACAGCTTCATCTACATCCTCCCTCCAGATGCGAGCGTCATCCACTGGAACCACCCCGAACTCAATGACAGATAATTTGAGAAGAGTGTGTGCCAGTCATATATGTATGCATGCTCGCAGCTAGTTTTCACTTTTTTTTTCTTTTTGCATACCCTCACAGCGACGGAGTTTTAGTCTTTTTTGGAAACCGGCAAAGTTTTTTGAAAGAAACGAAAACGAACAGTGTGCCACAGACGGTCGGGGTCGGTTGGGAGGAGTTTTTTTTATTCGGGTTATCTTGTAGCAGGCCAGGCAGGGGAAAGGAAGAAGTAAAGAAAGTATACCAACCATATTTAATTACATCACATCCTCTATCTCTCTCTCTCCCTCTCCCAAAGATCAATATTATCAAGCTGGTTCTGCTTTTTTGGTGTTGAGAATTTGGTTTGACATTGCTGTCTTGTTTTTATCTCGTCTCTATGCTCTCTTTCTCTTCTCAACAATCACATATTCATCCGACATTCACATTCACTACTCAACACTATCTATCTATCTATCTATCTAACTCCCCTTCTTCTCCCCCTTCATCTCCATCACTTCCTTTCCTCTTCCCGTCCCCCTTTCTCCCTCTCCCTCCTCAAAACCTCCAACTCCCTCTCCCTAGCCTTCTCAACACTCCTCCTGCGAATGTTTTCCAAATCCCCAAAAACAGCCCCCACCAACTCCTTCTTATTCACCTTCCCCATCGCATTGCGCGGCAAGCACTCCACAACCTTCATATCCTGCGGGATTTTATACGCCACCAATTTCTCCCTCAACGCACGTCTCATCTCCAACGCACTCCACGCTCCACCATTCCTGCCGCACGTCTGCCCGAATTTCGTCAACACGATGACGGCGGCGGCTTTCTGGCCCCAAGCGACGCTGGGGAGGCCGACGACGGCGCATTCGGATACTTGCGGGAGGGAGAGGAGGTGGCGTTCGATTTCTAGCGCTGAGACCTTTTCGCCGCCGGTTTTGATTATGTCGGCGGATTTGCGGCCGAGGATGAAGTATGCGGGTCCTGTGGCCCAAGGGCCTGAAGCACCTTCTCCGGAGCCTGCTGGGACAGGGCGGCGGACGGCGATGTCGCCGGTTTTGAACCAGCCGTCGCTGGTGAATTCTTTTTTTGTGGCTTCCGGGTTGCGCCAGTAGGATTGGAAGATTGTGGGGCCTTTGAGTTGGATTTCGCCGGCGCGTTCTTTGCCCGTTGAGGAGGTTTCTTGACCGGGTTGGATTACTTCGTGGGTGTCGAAGTCCACGAGACGGGCTTGTACGGAGGGTAAGGGCCAGCCTACTGAGCCGTCGATTCGGTCGGTGTCTGCGAGACCGCACGATAGGGCCATGCCGACTTCGGTCATGCCGAAGCGTTCGAGGAGGACGTTGCCGTTGGACAGGTCGGTCCAGGCTTGTTTGGTTGGGGTTGGGAGGGCTGCGGAGCCGGAGATGTTGAGGCGGAGGTGTTTTCGTTGGATGGCTTCGTCGGCCGAGGTTTTGATGTCCGATGGGAGGTCCGGGTAGGATTGGAGCATGCGGGCCCAGACTGTAGGGACAGCTGTGAAGAAGCTGACTGGGGTTTTGGATGATTCTGGGCTGATGATGGTGCTTTGGAAGGGAGCGGCGAAACGTTTCCATACGTTGTCGACGTTGAAGGGGTACATAAACTCAATGCTGCTTCCAGCGAGAATGGGCGTGAGGAGAGCATTAACCGTGCCGTGGATGTGATGCAATGGGAGGACATGAAGCAGACGGTCGTCTGGTGTGTATTCCCATGCTTCGATCAAGCTCTTCGCCTGCGCTGTGAGAACTCTCTGAGGCAGTAGGACACCCTTCGGTTTCGCTGTTGTTCCCGATGTGTACAACATCATGCCACCTTCTGCATCCTCGACGTTGCCAGTCAACTGAACTTGCTCCCGTGACTTTGCGCCTTCACGAATTTTTTCCACGGCAATGCTGATGGGGGTCTTGTCCAGGCCCTCTTTCAATACTTCTTGTGCACCTTTTGCGAATTTCTTGGAATGGATCAAAGCAAGTGCTTCACTGTGGTTCAGAATATAGCGGAGCTCTCCAGCAGGGAAGGAAGGAGCTAGGGGGACGGCTATGGCGTTGGACGCAAGACAACTGAGAAGAGTGACTGTGCGAGTAATGCTTAGCCAACGCAGCTATTCAAAACAAGAAGTCTCGGTATTTTGCGCACCTACATAGTCATAGCTATTCTCGACCAAGAAGGCTATTCGCTCGCCTGCGATACTGTCTTCGCTCTTGCCAGTCTCGCTTAGAATTTGATCCTTTCTCAAGGCAATGTCCTGGAGCACGCTGCCATACTTGAAACTTCTTCCGCAGAGAGAGTGTACTACTGCTGTGGTGTTCGGGTCATGATTCTGGATGGCCTCGGTGAAGGCAGTCTTCTGAAGTCTTGCAAGTTGGCCTCCTGCCATGGTGGTGCTGAATAGCCGCGTCGATGGTGGCGTGCTTCGGTGTATGCAGGATGAACGGATCGTTGCTCTGGCGGTACTGAGGCTGGTATTATATTGGGTGTGGAACGAACGAAAGGAGTGACGGAGAAGCATCGCCGAGGATAGTCAGGGCATTTGGGGAGCGGCTCTATGGCGTGTGTCCAGCCATTGGGGCAGCTAATGCCATTGAGACGATTGACGTGCGCGGCGAAAGAGTGAGGCAGGAAATCTCCAGGGACCGGTCGGAAAAGTGGGGTTCTTATCCGCTGCCCAGCCTACGCTCGCGATGATACAAATGCAATGGACGGACGCTGTTCCTGGAAAGACACAGTAGCAGGAAGCTGCAGTGAGGCAGTGCTATGGTGCAAAGTGAGACCAGCGGCTATGAAGGATACACAGGCAAGCCAGCGAAACTTGTTGCTTCGCAGTCACATGCGAGGGTCGTCAAGTGAGTGATGGAGAGGGGGTGTCGTCATCTTCCAAGTGAAAGTCCCTGCACTTTCTGGCGCGCAGCCTGGCAATTACACACTGTACGATAGTCAACTTCGTCTTCTCTTCACCTCGAGCACAGCCACCAAAGCAATTCCATTCCCATTCCAGTCGTCACTGTCGCTGTTGCGCCTCCGTCACAGTCGAGTTGTACGTGTACGCGCACTCAGTCTTCGAACCGAATAATTGAAAGCCGATCCGCCGTGCAGTGCGTCCCTGCGAGCACTTCCTCACGAACACCTCCACCGCCGCCCAAGATGGTGGTCGACACCGCCTACTATGACTTGCTCGGAGTCCAGCCGACTGCCACTGAGATCGAGATCAAGAAGGCCTACCGAAAATTGGCCATTCGACTCCATCCAGGTGCGGCGTCAGAAATGGTGTGTGAGTGGGAAATTCTAGGCAGCTAACCAAAAACGCAGACAAGAACCCCGATGATCCGACAGCGCACGAGAAGTTTCAGGCAGTTGGCGAGGCCTACCAAGTATTGAGCGATACCGAACTGCGGAAGAGATATGACCAGTATGGCAAGGAGGGCGCCAAACCAGACTCCGGCTTCGAAGACCCCGCCGAATTCTTCACCATGATCTTTGGCGGTGAAGCCTTCCAGGACTGGATCGGCGAGATCTCCATGATGAAGGATCTCACCAAGAGCATGGAGATCTCTATGAGAGAACAGGAGGAAGCCGAGGGTCAGGCTGCCGCCGCCGCCGCCGCCGCCGATGCTGCTTCTGCCACGACTGATGCCGCCGCCGCGAAGCAAGCAGAGGCCGCGAAAGATGCGCAACCCGCAGCCGCTGCTCCTCCTCCAGCATACGCCGAGACCGCCCCAGAAGGAACCCACGAGATTCCCATCCGCGACACCAAGCCTCCCTCATACCCTGCCTCATCATCCGGTACATCTACTCCACGACCGCAAGGCATTCCAACTCGTCTGGCTCTGACCGACAAGACTGAGGAGGAGGCTGCTGCCACTGCGGCTGGCATGACCGAGGAGGAGAGGAAGCTGCGAGAGAAGGAGAAGCGCAAAGGTGGTCTTACGAAGGAGCAGCGCGAAGAATTGGCAGCTTTCGAGATGGAGCGCAAGAAGATCCGCGACGAGCGTGTCGAGACACTGGCCAACAAGCTCATTGACCGAGTGAGCGTATGGACCGAGACCGACAAGGGCCGCGCTGTGACCGAGGCCTTCAGGCAGAAGATGAAGCTCGAGGCAGAGAATCTCAAGATGGAGTCTTTCGGCATTGAGATTCTGCATGCAATTGGTCAAACATATGTCACCAAGGCATCCACCTATATCAAGTCGCAGAAGCCACTCATCGGAGGTGTCAGTGGCTTCTTTAGCCGACTCAAGGACAAGGGCAACATGGTGAAAGACACGTGGGGTACGGTGTCAAGTGCCATCTCTGCTCAGATGGAGATTGAGGAAATGGCGCGCGCCGAAGAAAAGGGTGGCGATGACTGGACCGACGAAAGAAAGGCAGAGTATGAGAAGCGCGTGACCGGCAAGATTCTCGCCGCAGCATGGCGCGGAAGCAAGTTTGAGATCACTGGTGTGCTTAGGGACGTGTGCGATAAGGTTCTCTACGACAAGCGCGTTAGGCCAGAGAAGCGGCTGGAGCGTGCCCATGCGTTGCTCATCATCGGAGAGATGTTTGCAAAGGTAAGTGACAGACCATGGCGACGTCGACACTTGCACCTTGTACTGACTGTTCAATCCAGGCCGAACGTGATCCAGATGAAGAGGGCGATTTTATGGCCTTCGAACAGCTCATGGCTGAAGCTACTGCGAAGCGTGAGAAGAAAGAGGACAAGAAGAGGGAGGAGAAGAAACACCGCTTCGGTCACAAGCACGACGAGAAGGAGGCCGCACCGGCAAGCTAGAAGCAACCGTCACTACCTCCCCGTCCTCACACGCCCAGTTCACAGACTTCACCAGCCGTCCCGCGAGATGAATTGCAGTTCGTCGCACCAATCATCGACGGGTCATGCGACTCTCCAGCAGCACCGCATCAGCCTTACGACTCCCCACCTCGACCTCTGCGATCGCATCCACCAACGGAGGACGGCGACTTGAGGACAGAAAAGCCGCCTCGTGTTCGGTCTGCTGGCGGTACTATCCGCTTCGTACTTGACACTTCTAGCGATGACGACAAGCCTGCAGTGCCGGAGAAGGATACCTAGCACATGTTCCTGCTGACGTTTTGCTGACCGCCCTGTCTGTCTACACGCCGACAATCCGACACCCGATCTTGTCCCGAAGCATCAGGCACCAACGCGAATTTGGAATTGAAACTGGTTCCAAGACCGTCTCGACTGAGTCGGCTCGCTTGCGGTGTCGCCGAGAGCTGCCTGGTCTCCACGAACCTGGAGAATTTTCTTCATAGCCCGGAGATCTGTGTACTCGGCTTTTTCTTCGCCTGACACCTCGACAGTGTAATCGTTTCGCACCGGATTCGCTAGCCTTACGACCAACGCTGGCACGGATGGGGAGCAGCAGCTCGTCTTTTCGTACTCGCTGCGCGCGTCATCACTACCTGCCGAGATCGCTCGACGTCACGTCGTCTGGTCGATACGAAGCGGTGTCACTCAGGCCGTCGTTACGATGAGCCTGGGCAGCTCGTACAATACGAGTAGACAGGCTCGTGATGATGTGAAGCGTTCAGCACCAAATATAGTAGCATTGAATAGTAGCATCACGTCCGAAATTCAGGCTTCATGATCCATCATTACAAGGCACGTGGCTCATTTCAACCTCACAGTTCTTGAAGCTTCATTCATTTCATCTTTACAGTTCCTGAAACCTGACTGGATGCGGTGGTGTGATTCGATCCGACCTTTCAGACCCGATGAAGGTTTGACAGGCACAGGCACAGTGCAGTTTTTTGAAGTGGTTCAGGTCCGTGCGCCTACAAGGGGTTCAGCAGGTAGGATATCTAACAACATGCTACATTGTTAGGACTAAGGGCTAATCTACCGAGCTAAACTTGTCCTTACGCGTACGCCGACTAGCTTAAAAGAGCTATAATATAATATTCTAAGAAGGTAAAGAGAATATTACTATTCCTAGTAGCGTACGGACCTAATCTACTTTAAAAAACTGTATTATATATATATAGAATATTTTTAAAGGGAGGGGAGGGGAGATCTTATTAGGACTAAAGAGGTTATATATAATTAGTATATAACTAGGCCGAGTAAAGCTAGAGTCTCGGGGCCTTAGGTAGGGCTTAGCGCTTAGCGTTAGGCTAACTAGCCTACCTTCCTCCCTCTCCTTTTAGATCTCTATCGAATACTATACTAATTTACTACTACCCTATCTACCTACTAATATAACCCTTCTTATATAGTATTCGATCTACTCTTTAAAGGTAGTAGCTAGATAGTCCTTATTTTAAGCTTTTAGCGGTATAGCTACGAGAACTGTTAATTTAGCTATATTGCGCCTAAAGAACGGGACCTATACGTACTACTCTATTAAAACAACCGTACTAATTATTAAGCAAGGCCTTCTATATAGCCTATTATACCGAGTTAATCGTACTAGACTAATGTCTACTAATTCCGCTATATCCGTATCTTAGGGGCCTATAGTATATTATTAGTGCTGCCCCTTATTATAATAGCCGGCTTGTTACAAAACAGTAGTAATAACAACCGCGGCGCCGCTAGTAGCGCCGGCGGTAGTAAGGTGTCGTTTAAGCCCTATAGTGCTTATCCTAATTAAGCGGAGCGACGGCGTAGAGCTCGATAGTAGTATTAGATTGCCTAATAGCGCTTTTGCGCTTGTTGCTGCGGTCTATATAGCTATAGTATAGTATCGAAAGCCTCGACAAGTAGTCGCTATATTACTTAAAGTCCTTATTATCGCCCTATGTCTACGCTATAGCTAAATCCTCTTCCTAGTAACGGCGCAATCTATTATTAAACGCCTATTAACGTATCTGCTCTTCCGCGATTGCAATTTAAATATATATCTCCTTATTAATTTCCTTATTATCTACGGTTGCTTGCTCTTACTCTTGCTCTTACTCTTACTCTTACTCTTGCTCTTGCTCTTACTCTTACTATATTCGCGGATCGCTATCGACGATATTACTACCTTAAAGAAGGTAGCTCGAAGAGACTACCTACGATCGTTAGGCTTCGCGGTTAGTATTAACGTTGCGCTAGAAGGTCTTATCGTCTAAGAACTCGCTAGCAACTTATCGATTACCGAGACGGTCTTAATCGATACGCGGTATAGCTCTAACTCTAAGGTATTCGTAGACAACTTTATTACGCGACTGTATATTACGAAGGGTATTAACGAACATAGTGCCTTTAATACGACGGCTATAGACCTCTACAAACCTACTAGATAGTACTACGAAGCAGATAAACTGCCTAGGTACTATTAAAGTCGGTAGTATACGCTCGAGGAAGGCGAGAGAAGCGACTAGTAAAGCGGCTTCTTTAGACGATAGTATAGTATTACCCGGAGTACGAGACTCTATCTTAGTAATTTTAAGCAAGTCGGCTTTAAACTATGCCTCTTCCTCTTAACGCCGACGAAGAGCCTTATCCTACTACTATTCTCGAGCGCGTTACTACTAAAGACGATATTCTTACTAGGTATATAGAGCTTATATATTACGCTACTATTAATCGCGCTTAGTACCTATAGCCTTAAGGTCTAGATAGGGTAGGTCTAAGGAAAGTATATATCTAAGTAGTAGAGTCCGCTACTTCTTATAGCGTATATAATTAGTATATCGGTCGATATAAGACTTATATAGCTTGCCTTTAAAGCGATCGTAGTTAAAGGGTTTATCGAAGAGGATATCGTCGAGGTTACGGAAGCGAGAGTATACTACGTAGGTTAGAGTAGAGGTAAAGTCCTTCTTAGAAATTTCTAATATACCTTTATCTAATATTATGCCTTACGACTTATAAATAGTTATAGTATAGGCGATCGTAAGCGGGAACTAGATACGGACACATTGCCTATTAGCGCGCTCGTTATACTTCTACTCCCGGCGAGATAGTATAATTAGCACTATATTTGCTAGAAGTCTATCTACTTCTTAGTTTAGGATTAGTCCGGAGTACTTATCGAGCTCTATAAGCACTATAGCTAGTATATCCTAGTCGACGATCTCCTAGTCCGTACGCGTATTATCTCGGGCCTAAACGATATCGCGAACAGTACCGAGACTGCTATTAATAATACCCTTTTATACCTAGAGGTTCTTAGTAACTATAATATAGGCATTAATACAAATAGGGAGGATCTTATACAAATTGCTACCCGTCTCGTAATTAGCTAAAGGTACAAATCGTCTAATATGTATAGCCTAGATAGGCTTAATAGGTTGTTAGTTGTCGCGTATCGAGGTATAGTTTAAAGTAGCTACCTGCTTCTTATAGCTAAAAAGACGAATAGCTTTCTAGAAGGCAACGGGGTATAGGTAGGTAGTATCTCGGACACGAGTTGTAAGTGTCTGCTATTGCTAAATAGTTAGCTTTCTAGGTCTAGTACGTAGGCCCTCGAGTGCTTCCTTAAATGCCCGTAATACTAGATTATTGCCCTACTAACGTTAAGCGACATTAAGTTAGATAGTCTTATCGAAGAGATACTAGGTATAGCGACTAAGAACGACTTTAGGGGAGTCGATTAAGGCAGGTCTACTAAAGAGCGGTCGACCGCCGATTAGAAGTAACTAACTAAAGTCGCCGCGCGCACAAATAGCAAAACTACCGAATAGTATTAAGGTGTCGACGTCAGGATCTTCCTAGTTAGCCTACGAATAGCTCGAGTCTTGTTGTCCGACTTATCGTAGCCGCCTATCGATCTAATACAACTTAACTAAGTTAATTATAGACTTTTCGTCGATTATAATATAGAGGATCTTGCTTATAAACTCCTAGAAAGTAGAGAGTGTATTACCCTCGAGAGGAACGTACTCTTTTATAGTTAACGGTAAGCGGAAGGCGGAGTAAATAGTAGATCCCTTAATGCTATAAGTAGTAGTACCGGTAGGAGCAATGCATATAATCGGGTTGTTAAGCTTATATTCTATAAGACTACTCGCATCGTATTACTTAGCAAGACCTTTAATAGTAGAAGACAGCAATTTAATAATAAAGGACTTGCCGACTCTAGCCTTGCTATTAATGTTTAGTAGTATCGAGGCTAGAATAGTGTTTCTATTAATTATCTTATCGGTATAATTGTAAATCTAGTTATACTAAATTCGCTACTCTAGCGATAAACCTATAACCTTTTGCTGTAGGTTAGCGATCTAGCCGACCTTCTAATAGGCTATAGTACTACGATATGCCTTCTACTAATCTTTTGTTTGTCTAAGGTTATATCGTCTAATATAAGGTGTCTAGTCGTAGTCCTTGTCTATCTAACGGTTACTAAGGTTGTTTAGATCTTCCTCCTCTTCTATAGGATTGCGATCGGGTATAGCACGTACGAGAAGCTTACCCTTAGGTTCCTCCTCTTCTAGATCGTATTACTCTTCCTTAAAGAGGTCTTTAGTAGGTATAGGAAGATTGATTCCGAAGTAGTTAAAAGGATAATTGTAGTAATTCTCCTAATACTACTCGTACGCTTTACGCTAAGTGTAAAACTCCTTATTAGTATAGTCGTCGCTAAAAGTATAAGGAAGGGCTAGGTATTAGCTATCGAATAAGTAGTATAGGATAACCTTAGTACGACAATAGTCCTCGTACGTGCCGTCGTCTTCTTTAAGGTTGCCGGAATACTTAGGGAAGTAGTTAATTAGCCGGGCTTTCGCTCGTAGTCGCATTTTAAAGGTGCCGAAGTCCTAGGAAGTTAGGAATTCGAAGAGGGTAAGGTTAGGTCGCGTAAGCAGATAAGACTTAGCAAATTTCTTAGGACTAATACTAAGGCGGTTAATATACTTTAGCAAAGGTAACTTACCCTATATAACAATCTCTCTAGCCTGCTTATCGTACCGCTTAACCTTTGCCTAGTATTAAGGGAGCCGATAATCGAAGCTTTAAACGGTACGAGTGCCTTAAGACAGTAGAAGGCCTAAAAGCTAATAGCAAGCCTCCTATGCTAATATATCGCGCTTACCGATAAGCTTATTTATTATCTTAGTAAAGAAGGAGATTATAGGGCGGTTAGAATTCTGCAACTACGGACCTAATTACTTTACGATCTCGAGTAATAGAGTACTACGCTTCTCTGCCTTACTATAGTACTTAGCAAGGTAGTTAACGACGGTACCTTTTAACGTATAGAGGGCGAAATCTATATTCGCGAGCTAGGCTATAGATACTGTTCTATTCTATCTATTTATCTACTTGTCGTTACGAGGACTATTATATATATAGTAGCGAGGATTAAGATCTCGACTAATCCGAGCTTCCTTATAAAGTTCTCGAAGATAATAGAAGCGATATATACGCTAGCTAGTGTCTTTGTTCTTACGTTAAAAGTACTCGTAACCGTATTAGTAGCGCTAGACTCTATTTAGATTTAGTATAAGGAGGTATGCCGCATTACGCACCTCGTCTAGACGCATTAATAGCACTATCGGCTCTCCTAGTTATAGCCTAGTACGCTCGAGGTCTAGCTAGAAAGCAGTAATATAGCGGCCCTAGAACTTAGCTAGTCTGTCTTAGTCGGCCTACGTGTTTAATTGTAGAAGCGGTAGTAAGGGCTCTTACGTATAAATGTCGGTCTAGAGCTAGTATATACTATAATTA